TCATTAAGTCTAAATAGTTATGGAAAAACATATCGTTCCTGTGTGAAGCAACCTCCAAATTTGAGCATCCGGAATATTCGACACTATGAGTACTGCTACAATCATGTTCATATCATATTAACTTTATGATTTCATTAGAACTGAGTCACTAAAACTTCTTTAAAGCCATTGCTTTTCACTTTATTTTTTCTGTCCAAAAAGCAGTGCTTAATGAACCCGTGCTCAGTTTTTTTATCCGTTGAGTAATAGATTTCTATAAAGATTATTGCTTTTTAAAAATTGGATGGTCTTTTCACAAATCGGGCCATTTACATATTCTAAACTATATTGTATATAACTTGTTTTTTTGTATCTTATTTTAATAATCACCTTAGATGCATTATGTTTTGAAAGCCAATAATTTAATTTAATTTGTAACAAAGAAAGTAAATAATTAAATCTTAATAAAGAAATCTTTTTAATAGATTTTTATTTCTAAAAGTTTTTTAAGTCTCATAAATTATCCTTTCTATTTTTTGTCTTTAAAGAGCATCAAAATATTCGTTACATTATTTATATTCGTGGAAGATAAAATATTATAGACATTCTAACTCCAACAATAATTCAAATAAAATCATAATATGAATATAATTGTTTATAAATTTTCTATAAATTTTAAACAGGAGACTAATTTATTATGACATTATTTTGAATTATTATTAAGGACAATACAAAACTAAAAAAATTGTTAAACCAATTTTATTTTACTTAAGGGAGTTTTTAGTTAATTATTACTTCAATGGCTGTGAGTTATTGAAAATATATTGCCAATTTAATTTTTACTTTACTCTGGACACTCAACACTCCAAAAGTAACATTTTTATAAATAATTGCTTTATTTAAACTGATTTAATGCTTCAATAAAACAAGTTAATATTTATTTATTTTAAAATATAATTAATGATGTATTATAATACATCTGTCAACCAAAAACCAAGCAATAAATTTATGCCAGAAATAATATTCTTATTGCAGTCATTTTATTTAACCTTAATGCCTCATTAATGCTCATCATCCTTAATGTTTTCAAAGGAAGTACCATAAAGTTCAATAAAAATCAAAAATTTTTATTCTGTTTTAACATATAATTACAAAAAACTTTCCTATACGCATTGACTATGTTCATTCATAGTTTGATTCAGGTCTAAGATATTTAACTGAATCCTGTAGATCAAAAATTAATAATTATGAATGACTTACAGTTACATACACGTAATATATTTAAATTATATTTAATATATAAAATGATAAAATAATGAGTTATATTCAAACACGCGATGACTTCTCGACTTCTACTTTCAACCGTAACACTTCAACAGCTGCCGCTACTTTTCTTCTTCAATCCACTGCACCGTTATCGGGGTTGCCCTATTGTAATGTTGGTATTCTTCTTTACATACAGAACTATTACAAAATAGTTCTATTTGCGAATATTTAAATAAAATACAATTGAATATATAAAGAAGTAACCCCGGCACTCCATTCATGCATACAGTCTGTACTTAGCTTAGCTCACATGTTATATTGAAGCTGTTTTGAGCTAGTGCACTTAAGCACTTATACACTTTTTTAACTTGAGGTATTTTCAAAACCCCTCTTTACACCTTGACTAGATTATTGTTTATCACTTCATCAGACTAAGTAATAATTGACCTCAGATCTGCATACCTCCCCGAGGAGCCTGTAACCATTTTGAGATTTGATAACGCGGTGTTGGTAAGTCTGTCAGTTTTCGCAAATAATTTCAGGGCTCTATCACATATTTACATCGATATCAACAACAACAATAATAGTACAAAAAACTAGGAAGAAAACTTTCCTGCAAGCAAAATGACATCTAACAGCACTGAAAAACCGGAAAATGTACCATTATAAGACAAGAAAAAATTAACAATTATAATGAAAAAGAGAAATTCATTTTAAAAAATGTCTGTATTGAACCTTTGTTTAAACACATATTATGTTGTTGTAGCCTAAGAAGATTCTTATTGCAGAAAGGAAAGGAAATAAAACGTATCATACGTCGTATGAATCTATGGGTTAGGAAGTAAATGACAAGAAGAGAGGTTGATAGGGTAGCTCCAATTCAATTGAAACTAGTTTGGATCGAGATAAAAAAACCTTACCAGTTTTTTGAAAAAAGTAAATGCTGATCTTAGTCCTTGTTTGTATTTAACCTCTCATGTTATTTCCATTGTAAGAGGTGCCGTTGTTCGCACGAATGAAGAAAGAAATCGACGAATTTATGATTGAGAGAGGGCTCTACTGTTCATATTGCCATGGAGTTTTTCACTTGTTTACAGATTGCTTAGACAGTAGATAACTGAATTCCTTGTCATTTAGTTAGAACCACTAAAAAATATTTATCTTGTTATTATTTTACATAAATTGTATGTAAAAAACCTCTATAACATTTTTAATGTTAAATATTGTTTATTATTCCATAAAACGGGTTTTGAAGCCAAAATTAAGTTATTTAATTATTTTACTTAGGTTTTACTGTAACGGGTACAGTTTAATTTAAACTATAAGCAATACGTTGGGGGTGCTGTCTATAGTAAAAATAGGTGTGAGTTAGACAACGATAGTACTATTGAATAAATAATTTTTAATTAAGTTAATTAGTTAAGTTTGATATTAAGTATCAAAATAAATTGAATTAAAAATTTTAAATTTAATTGAATTTATGGGCAAAATCCTCAGTGTTACCTTGAAAACAACTTCCAATAACAGCTTGAAGCTATAAACTTTATTCAAAGTCACTATGGTATCAACTTACTTAAAATGCTATTATATTAGCAATTCTGGCAGTTCCAGTTTGCTCCTTACAAGTTTAATTTAATCTTTGATGAAACACTTTTCGACAAAAAACAACTAAAAACTTCGTAGATAAATTTGTTGGGTTCACGTTTCCATTGGTAATTCTATTCATTTGGAGGGCACAAATGCCAATTGTTGTTACCAGAAGCCTGCTGTGCAGCGCTTTGTGCTTGCAAGACGACAAAACCGCAGAAATCTCAAACTTAATGTATTTCCGGTGTGAGGCAAACACAATATCCTTACGATTACAAACTCAGAAGATTTTGCGATTTTAGTGTAGATTTCTTATTACTGCGAGTATTGTCTTCAAGAAGCGTTGGAGTAGTAATGGGTTTGAGAAGGAGCTTCAAGCACCCACACTGATAGAAAAGTTGGCGTATGAGTAGTGGTAGCCTAACCAGACTACCAGACTGAAGAGGTTGTGCAGAATGTGCAAAAACAAATGTGACAACCATTGCAAGGATGACGTTGGTGGCGACAAATTAAGTTCTCATGTTTTTCCGCAATTTAAACAGTAAGTTTGCTTGCACCAAGTGTTGTTGTTTTTCGGTATAATGCTGTTACAAGGCAATGGTTAAGGAGAACTTTTCCACCACAGCAATTAATACTGGAGCCATTGTAATACGACATTTGCTGGTAATGTAAGGCGTACATGTCGGATTAGTTTGTCGATAAGTTCATTTCAGGTGTAAGCATCTTACATGTCTAAAGTTTTCAAATTAACGCAGCAAAACTTTTAAAAGCTTTTCCTTTATCATAGACAAGATGAAGTCACTTAAGTAACAAAATTAATACATTTTACTGTATGAACATCATTTCCCCTCGTGCAGAGTAGTCCTATGCCCTACCGATTTCTAACATCGCATTTGGCAAAAAGTTTTCTGCTCCAACAAATTGTGTCATTGCACTTTTTCTTCGGTTTCAATTTGGTTGTAAATGTGAACATCGCTCCAATCGCAGATTGCAAATTTTTATAGCGGAAACAGCATTTAAGAAAGAAGGATGCAGTTACAGAGGCATAACAGATAAAAGGACTTTTTTGTTTGCGAAATTTTCTAAGAAATTCTCAACGAAATGCGATAAAACTGTTTGGAGATACCCCAAAAATTTCAAATGACTGCTGGGCCTATTTCAGAAAGAGATATGTTGTATGTTATATTTGAACCTTAGTGAACGTGAAAGTATATATATTTTAAAGTGTATAATAAAATAAAAAGTTCAAATAAAATTAAGAAAATGGAAGCCTGTTCCATTTTGTATGCCTATTTATATTACAATATATCATAAAGCATTTTTTATTTGTTTCTACCTAGAAAAAACCTTATTGCATTCCATGTAACTAACCCGTTTAGATCTGAGGTTAAGTAAAATATTTGGGTTACATGGCAATCGATGTTTACATCTTGGTATCCGTTGAGGAAGTAGGAGATCCACTGTTTAGTTAGTTCAGTATATAAGATCTACTATGATCACAATGAATCTACTGCTTTAAGAGCATGTCATTTGTTTATTTTTGTTTATAAATGTAGGATCATAATTCAGCTGCTCCTTTGAGAGTCTCTCATTCATTTATTTTTGTAGATTTATGTAGCTTCAAAATCAATCTGCTCTTTCGGGAAGCTGTTATTTATTGATTTTTGCTTATTTATATAAAATGCCTACATGCAAAATCTATATATTCTATTGATCATTAAGAAATCATATTATAGAATGATATATTTCAATTGAGTTAAAGAGTCAAGTATTATAATATAAAATATTATGTACTAAGACTTAAACTTTCTAAACAAAATAAAATATATTAAAATATAAGATCTAAAGTTGGGACACAGTAAATAAACCACCTTATATCTCTTCTCTAATATAATATATACCTATGTCTTCTGTGTCCAACTAGACAGTAAAATAACACCAACACTTCACTTTATATTGTCCTATGCGTCATCATTGAGATGTGACAATATTTCTTTTAACTTTAAAGTACTACACCTAATTTAAATCGAGCTTCTAACCATTATTTTAATCAGAAATAGAAATATCTCTATCTAGTTCCATTTTAAATGGAAATTATTTAATCAAATTGCTCATTGGATTCCTCTATGTATTCAATACTTATAGATTTCCTCTTTACTTTATTACAGGTTCGGGCTATGGAACAAAGGCTGAGTGAATGGCCGAAACCAACACAAACAGCAACAAATTCACCGATACATCAAAACCAGCATCAACAACAAGCCACTGCAACAGCACTTGCCGCTACACAACAATCCACAAGTCTTCCCTCGACTGATGCTGAAAAGACTATAACTTCCCTTGAAATTCAAGTTGAAGAACAACGTCAATTGCGTTTGCACGACGCACGGCAAATAGAAGCCAAAGCAGCTAAAATAAAAGAGTGGGTCACCAACAAGTTACGAGAACTTGAAGAGCAAAACCAACTGCTGCGGGAACAGAATCTCAAGTGTAATCAACAATTAGAACTGCTGAAAAATCACATAGCGAATCAACCTAATCGTCATAGCAGTGTAGGGCCACATCCAGTACGTAACAGCTTAAGTTTGGATGTTCAAGATTTTGCAGACACTGCAGAGTCCCGTAGACGTAGTGAAAGTTTAGATCCACAAGAAATTATACATCGACCACTAACCTCTTCATATCCACATCATCAGCATCGACGAAATTTATCAATGGAGCCACAAGAGTTAGAACGAAACTTAGTAGCAGCCGTAGATGGGCTGACACTAGTGCCCTTATCGAGCATATCAAAAGCGAGCAGCAACAACAGACCTGATAGCTCTGACACTGATACTGCGCATGATTATGCGGAAATATATACACCATCTTGCGAACAAATGCCAACATGGATGAAGAATAATACAACATTAATGGCAAGTGGAGGCACATCCAGCACAACAACTACAACAAGTGATCTGGGTGTTCCTCGACCACCAACTCCACCACTTCATCGATTTCCTAGTTGGGAAGCAAAAATCTATCAAGTCGCTAATGATGGACTAGCTGGCAGTGCGGAGGATGGTGTTGGCCAAGTCGATACGCAGCCACCAGATATACAAGAATCAACAAGTGGTGCTGCTTCGGTAGGCAGTACAAGCGCAACGAACACCCTAGCTAATGGCAGTGGTCATAATTTGAACCGTGGTACAACCAGCAATAATGGCACATTGGGCAGCAGTAGCGCTGGCAGTGTCGGTGGTGGTACGCCACAATTACCAAGCAGACAACAACAAACTGCAAGTGGTGGTTTCTGTGATATATCTGTGCCCGTTTATGCTACTGTAAAGGGGGTATGTTATACAAAAGAGTTTATATTCCAATCAATACATCACACATCATTATTTTTAACAATTATTTCAGCGCGCCTCGCAAATACGTTCCATGCCATTTACCGGTGACTCCAGTGACGATTCAAGCGATGGTGAAGATCATGCCGTTATGTTAACGCACAACTCACACAATTCATCAAGTACCGATAACACTGAAACCTCAACCGGTAGTGCTTCAAGTCCTTCAAAAAGTCTGAAAACATCTTCCAGCTTAAGTCCAGCTAAACGCAGTGGTTCCGAAAGTCCTAAAAATAATAAGACACGTGGTATGTACACTGACAAATTGATCCGCTTGCGTAGTTGATTGCCCTTGGTAGCAAACGTCCCACAGAGTATTAATCTGTGTTATACAATACTAACACCTTTACAATCTTTAATTAGCATGTGTATTTTATTATTTTTTTAATGTATCCTGCTTTAATCTTTTTTTTAATAGCTTCTCCAATTACTTTTTAATTTCTTTTTTAAGTTTTTTACCTACAAATTTCTATTATTGAAACTTAACAAAACAAAACTTTTTTAATTAAAATTAATCTCTTTTAAAAATTTCTTCATTCACCTTCAAAACATTCTACCTTATTTCCTTGCTTTGGATTTCATTTCTTAAAAAAAATGTTCTCTTTCAAAATTTACCACACGTCACATAACTCATCCGATTGAAACACCCATAGTTCACCACACAAACAATACACAAGCATCACAAGTACACACCTTACCCGTACCACACACTCAAATACCTACCAACAATCATCTACGTATCCCCCACAAACGTGGAACAGTAATTTCAGATATTTCATTTGAATCAGGCCTCTCTGATGATTATGCATTACCACCAGATGCAGTTTCCGAATCCACATGTATGGATGCGTCTATGCCATCTTTACTAATGCGCCAATCTTATGTAGATTCTCCCAGCAAAAAAATTGAATCATTGGAAAAGGTTTGTTAAAGTCGAAGCGCCGAATGGTATTACATCTATAACTAACTTAATATCTCTTCTTTAATCCCTGAACGCAGGTTGGACATCTAGCAAAATTAGGTGGCAAATTAAAAACATGGCGTAAACGTTGGTTTGTACTTAAAAATGGTACTTTGACCTATTGGAAGAGTCAGCACGACATAAATCGTAAGCCACAAGGTCAGATAATGTTGGACGAAGCATGCCGCATAAACCGTGCTGAAGGTGCTTCCACTTTTGAAATAGATACGGGAAAAAAGGTCTACTATCTTACCGCCGATTCCAATGCTACAATGGATGATTGGATACGTGTGTTGCAAAATGTACAACGTCGTAATGCTACAAAATTATTACTCAGTCGTGATGACCAAAAGCCAACTGTACAAGGTTGGGTGACAAAAGTGAAAAATGGACATGCGAAAAAATGCTGGTGCGTCTTATTAGGGAAAATGTTTTTGTATTTTAAAGCACCAGGAGAAACGGTAAATTTTTTGATTTCTTATTTTGGATTTTCACAAATTAAATAAATTTTGATTTGTAGAATCCAATTGGTCAGATAAACATGAGGGATGCACGTGTAGAAGAGGTAGAACATGTGTCTGACTCTGATTCAGAGGAACGTGAAGATCCTGCTCAAAGCCAAGCAAGATTAACTGTTGCTATTTATCCTGCGCATCAAGGTCCTACGTATCTTATATTACCTGGTAAACAGGAACGTGATAATTGGCTGTATCACTTGACGGTAGTGTCAGGTGGAGGTCCCAGTGCTGGTACACAGTATGAACAACTTGTACAAAAGCTTATGGAGACCGATGGAGATCCAAGTAAGACATTGAAATATTGTAAAATATTTTTTATATATTGTATATATTCTAATTACTTAATGTAATTTAATATATCTTTATTTAAGATATATATAATGTTCTCACAAACTAATATTTGGAAATCTGTTCTTAATATATTAGGAAGTTATATATAATAGACTATCGTAAAGTTCATTCATTACATTTTACAACCAATTTTGTTAAGTTAAACAAATAGATTAGTTGTTCAATTATTATAAAATTTAATCAGACTATTAGGCATTAGTTAAGATGGATCTAGATTAGATAGATCCTCGAAGATAATTAAAATTTTTAAATCAATCTGAAAAATATTTACATATGCTTTCTCAATTTTTATAAATTTGTTCAGTGTATGTCAGAATCTATCTAATTATTTTTTTTAATTGTTATAATAATTTTTATTTAAAAATCTAAGAATACTGAAATCGGAATCTCATCCACTGAAGTTTCTTTTAACTTTTGCAATTGACAATTGATAGAATGCCGCTATTCATTGAAAGGTATTCATTGAAAATATTTATGATTAGACCTCATTCTAACACATTTTATAAAAAAAAACTTGAAAACTTGTATTCCAGCACAAGGTCTGTGCATATATAAATACATATACAATATATATCTATCTATAAAGTAATCGAATAATCTAATTTTTAATTAGTTCCTGTATTATCTGATTAAATCAAATTATATAGCCTCTATTATACAAAAGCTGTTACCACACAAAAACATGATCCACCTTATTTCTTATTAACTTTTAATACAATTTAAATTTTAATAAAATTTAATAAATTATTAAATGATTTTGTCGATTATTTATTAATTAATTGTGCAATTATAATTATTTGGTCAATAAATGATCGAATTTATTGAAAATATTATTGCCACTACCGTTGTTATTATTTCCCAAATAATCCCTTTGATAATAGATCTTGATATACACTTAATTTTTTAAGCTCCTCCTAAATTCTCTTTTGACTTTTCTCTTTTCTATCAGATTAATTTAAAGTTTCAATTGGCTCACTTAACTCTGTCAGTTATTCGATGTATTTTAATATTATAAATAAAGGCAAACCAAGAACAGTAACGACCCTAAAGCTGGTATCCGTTGATCATAACAATTTTTACATCTACATATTTGTAATGGCTATTCAATGTCGCACAATTTCCAGTTGTGATACATTTAATATGAGTGTACCTATAATATATTGTATAATATAATATATAAGTATAAGATTGATAGCGAAAGCCATAATCGTATAAAGAATAATTGAAAACTATTTATGTCAATTTAGTTAGGTTTTACTTATATATAATATAAATATTTACAATATTTTTGTTTATATATTATAAATTATTGAAAATATATAATTTTGTAAATTTAAATAACCTATAAATAATAAAGAAGAAATACTACTACTATAAGTATAATATACAAACTGCGAAGCAAGGTTGATCGACAAGCACTTAGAAATTTCACAAACAACTTTTGTTCAAATTTAAGCCCAAAAATAAAAATAAGAACAGTAAATATCAATTTTGCTTTGGTGGTGCAGAGTATAAATATGCATATTTGATTTTGTATCTATTGTTGGTACTGTTTGGATATTAAAAAATCTTAATTAAAATTATCTTAATTATCTTAATTAAAAAATCTTTTTAAATTTGTTTGTAATTTGTTCTCTAAATTCTATTGCTAACTATTTAGTTTTAGTTTTAGAAAATTCGAGTTATAGTAATTCGAGTTATGAAAGTTTGACTATACCTATATCTTTTATAAGGTTTATATCACTAACTTTTACTATAACTATTATTACTAAAATACCCCGTCCTGAGGAAGAAGTAGAAAAAGTTGTCAGACTTCAGCGATATAAACTCAACACAGATAATGTTTGGATAGCTCCTACTTTCATTATAAACATTTATTTTTATTATCTTCAGTTTAAGTAATTTAATCTTAAACGCTTTTAAATAGAGAATATAACAATATAATTTTTTTTTAAATGCATTATCTCTTCTTTTATTTTTTCCACTATTATCGATGTTAATTAATATGTTCATGTTATCTTAAAATTTCCACTAAAAGTTCATAGTTGAATTTATTATTACAAACAATTTTAAATTATTTATAACAGCGTTTTTATGTAAATAAAAAATACTATCTTCCATGTTTTTTTAAATACTTAGTTGCTCAACTCTGGATATAAATCCTTTTGTCAGCTTTTATTGATTTTATTGTTCGCCAGTGACTATATTAAAATAAAATTTATTTATTTATTTTCTCTATTATTTATTTTACAGATTGTGTTCTATGGCGCCATCCTATACTGCTACATACTAAAGACGCCATTACCTCCCCACTTTCCTCCCTGCATTCGGAAGCAATGCAACCAGAAGCAATAAAACTATTTAAGGTGATATCAACATTTTAACGTTGCAATAAATTTTTTATTTAATTATTTTTTTTAATATTTAGAGCATTCAGTTATTTATGTCCGTGGCTATAAATCAACCTGGTATCGATTATCATGTGGTGCTTGCTCAAAACTCACTACAGCACTGCCTCGACATGTCGGAACTGCAAACGGAAATGATTTGCATTTTAGTGAAACAAACCTCCCGACATACCGGACAGAAACTAAGTGTCGGCGTCCAGGTAAACAAGAAACTGGGCAAGCAAACGCGCGTAAGTTTTTTAGTTGCAAAAGCTTTTTTCGGATTTAGTTTGTTCGTTTAGTTTAGTTTTAGAATTAGATTTTATGTTCTGATTAAACTAACAAAAAATTGATATTTCTTTATAATAAATTAGAGGAGTTTAGAATTTAAGTTCATACAATATATATTTTAATTTTTTTTTTTTTAATTTATTAAATTTGTTTTTATTTAATTTTCATATCAACTCATCTATTTTCACTTAATCCCTTTAACTATGTCCTGGATAATCTCCTACTACTTGGATCAATTAAAACAAAGTGGAATGTTTATTTGGTCAACATTTTTTGTATCATTAACAACACAGCTTTAGAAGTGGGAATAATCTATAGAATTATGTTAATCTGGCTCATTTTTATTGCCCCTATAACTATTACAAACTGACCGCAAACTAACTTGATTAATATAAAATTATATAGTGCATCCCTACTCCAGTCGTGCATGTGTTACTTAAGTTCTTCCTTAGCACAGCACTGAATCCTTTCTTAAAGTATATAATGCGGATTAAGTAGCGTCTAAAAATTTATGGCAGTTCAAAATAATTCAAAACAGTGGGCCAATATAATATTATATACAGCAGCATACAAGTAGGGGAAAGAACCTTACTTAAACACCAAACCTTTTGACAACCTTATCAGTTTTATTCAAATCAAGTTATATTACAAATTACCTCAATTCTCAGAAATATTCCATGTATATGTTTTCTACTTTTGCAGACCGTAAGACTGCAACTTTTGTAACATTGTTCGCGATAAGTTAAAAACTTGTCTGCCTTCGAACTGTTCAAGTACCCGCAAAAGTGTTCGAAATGATCCTATTATTTTAACTTATCCATTTGCTTTTACCAATCAACATCATTTTAAAATAATATACCAGAAATTCTTAAGCACTAAAGGCATAATCTTCACTGCAAATATTGTTTTATATACACGTAATTACATTAGCATAGTTTTCTTTAATCCACCAAAACTTATTACGTTCGATTTAGTCATCGTCACGATCCTAGCCAACAAATAAAAACAATTTTAATACTTGTAACAAGAAGATTTTTGTAATTGTCTATAAATATTATGTTATGGAATTTTGTGGTGTGACCTAGAGATCTATTGTAACCCCTTCATGAACTTAGAGCATATCTCCAAGTCCGACTTCCTTGATGTATAATAATATTGAATCTGCATTATCAAATCTAATATCTACATCCAATATACCAGCACTTGTTTCTTCTAAAACCTACAAAATCTACAAGGTCTAAAAAAGTAGTTTTCAGTTTTATAAGATGATAGTTCAACCTACCGTGACCTGTCAGAATTCCTGTAATGATTCTTAATTTACTTTTTCTTTATTTAGCAACAATTCCCAATTTGTTATAGGCTAAGAATCTCTATAAGCAAATCGTTTATTTCAGTGTAGTTTTCTTTCTTCGTTTTATCTCTTCTTTCTAAATGAGTGACAAAGTTAAGCTCCTTCTAAACCACATGATGGTTCCGACACTCTGAGCAGCGAGGCTGCTCCTTTCCTAATAAGTATGTCTGCAATTTCATTAGCGAAAATTCTTTTCAATTTCATTGCGTGACCCGGAACCCATAGGATCCATATGTCTTTGAATTTGCTAAAAATATTCAGCTTTTCAAGACCCTTTATAACCAGACTTAATGTCAACTGATGAGAAATGGTAAGGTTTATTGGTGCCAGTTAGGATGATGATTCTATGATTTTGATAGTTACGTTCAAGGTTGAAACAATCCTTTCTATCGCATAAATTTCTAGCTATGTATTGGTTTGTGTTCCTTACATTTTAGAGAATTTCAACCTTGGGTTATGAACTTCTACGCCGGCTCCTTCTTCAGAAAGGGAACCGTTACCGACTAAGGTCACTTAGAAAATGAATCTTAAATATCTTTAGAGGAAAAGAATTTGTTTCATCTTCCCCAAAGCTATTCGAAGAGTAATTGAAGAGTATATTTAATCTTGTAGTAATCGATAATGACAAGACAGATTAATATCTGAATGAGCCATTTCAATGGCTTATTCAATTTTTAATAGATGTCGTTGTAATTATATAATCTTAATTGAAATATAAAACCTTTTCTATTTCTTTATCCAAAGTATTATTATAAAGAAGTGCCATTATGAGCCTAAATGAGTTGGATTAAAAATTTCGATATAAATCTCTAACTCCACTCTGAGTGATAGTTCAAATATTATTGAAACTGGTGTTACATGTAGAATTTTTTGCAGATATTATTAAATTTTAATAAGAAGTATTAATGATAATAATTTGTTATTTATTTATTTGTTCTTAATTATTTTTTTCACTGCAAAAATGGCTTCGCTTTGAAAGAACACGTGCTTAAAAAGCTTACGAACGCCTAAAAACGAAGAGTATTGAAAAATATTAACAAAATATTTAATAAATAAATAAAATAGTATTTTTGAATATTTAATAATTAAATGTAATTAAAATAATACAATATTAACAAACACAACAGCACAACACATCAAATTCACTTCTTCGAACTCATTTATTTTGTGCAATCAATAAAAGCGAAAATATTTTAATATTTTTTATTTTCTAATATCATTTAATTTTTTTTAACAATAATATGTAGTTGATGTTGCATGCCATGTATAGTAATGATATTAATTAATTTAATTAATTAGTTTATTTATTTACATACCTTAAAAAGTTTTGATTATTCGTCGTAGGATGATTACAACTAAAATTACTGCAAATTAATTGAAAACAATTATAATAAAAATGATAAAAAAGTGTTATTAATATTTATTCAATAACACATAATAATATATAGATTAGATGATATATATCCAATTTTCCGGTTGTAATTTAAATCTCCATACTAACCATAAATCTCCATAAGTTATGCTTACATTGACTCCGGGACGTAGACCCGACCGTTCTTGCTTATGTTGTAAACTTGGGTGTTTTAAGTCATATTTAAGTATGTATTAAGTTAATACTATAGAATTCTTTCTCTTGTAATTGGGGCTACTATGGGTTAATAGGATCCTTGGGTCCAGTCGTACAAGTGTACATTCTACAGTTTTAGCATTAAATTTAAAGTGATATTTCAGTGCTCAATATCGAGCATTTTAATTTCTTATTATTTCTTATTTAGCTAACGTAAGAAAGTGGTACTCCGGTTTCCATTCGTGTCGTCCAAAGTTTTATAACCTTTGATTTTATAGTTAAGCATATATAAAGTACATATTTTTTCCATTATCACATTTTTTAGAATTATAATCTTATAAAACCCTCAAGTCTTTACATTAAAAAAACCATCAATACTTAAATGCAAAAGAACTCATACTGTCCTTAAGTTAAAAAGTGAGTGAGTGAGAGTTCATTAACTGAGAATTGTATACTTGACCCTCAATATATTTTTATACAGTATAGTATGTTTAGTATTTCGCATGAAAGTGATGGGAAATATATATGTATTTATATTGAGGTTTAAGAATTTTTTAAAACTATAACTAATTGCAACGTACACATGAATCATTAGATCAGGGTTTCTCCTGATAGAGGTGGCCATCTTGCTTCAAATATTTTAGGGTCTCTTCTCATATTAATAATCATTTCTAATTGTGGTAGGCCGCATAGTATCCTTAAAGAAAAAAACAATAAACCTTATTTTTAATTTAATTTATAATAAAATATAAAATAATTTATATTACTCAATATATATATATTGATCTTCTCAGATACAATTAGGAGACTATGCAACAGATGGCTATGAATGTTATCGCTAGGAAACTTGAGCAATATTGTTGTAATTTCTATTTTAACAATAAACATATCCTATATATGTTTATATATATATAAACATATAATATCTGAATATGGAGACTTTTCTATCAACGTGCTGTAACCTCGAAATAATATGCCTTGGTCCGAGATAAGAAAAGGTTCCTTCTTTTGGTCAATCCCCTTTTCTAACTAACATAACAGAACTGCCGTTCTTTGAAATTACGGATATTGTGAAATTTATAGACTCTTTAGGTTGGATTTCTTTCTATTTGAATAAAGATGCGCTTTCTGCAAAAAACAAAGTGCATGCTAGGGGCTTCTACCTCTCAGGTAGTCTTCTAGGCCTAGCATATGGACAGTGTCACATCCATGGTATCAACGGAACAGAAGTTGTACTTAAGTGAGATTTAGTGTACGAAATAATCACTTTAACCCTAGTCATAAATTAACATTATACTAGGTTCCCAGCGAAGCAAAGCGAAGTAAAGTTCTTGTTTAAGTGAGCTTTAATGTACAAGGTTTCCAGTTCTTGGAAATGTTACATGTGAATGGCACTACAACACTTAAGTTCCTTCAGCTACTTAAGAAGGTAACATCGGTGATATATATATTATATGGAATTGGTGAAATGCATCATCCATCACGTATGTAAGCACGAACCCATCTATTGTTGAGATCGTTTTTATTCTACTTTGAGTTCCAATATATGCATCCATTATACATATTGGTCGGATAAATGTGTTATATTAGTGTGTTTTTAAAACTGTAGACTAGGGTCTTGATTTAAAGTGTGTTATAAGGAAGTAAATAAATTTTGCAGCGATGATTAATTACAGATCAACGGGATTTTCTAGAATAATTGAAATTTTATTTCATAAAAGATTTTAAATTAAAATTCAAATTAAAAATTTTTAATAAAAAATCGCGTTACATTTTTTTCAATTAATTTGCAATAATTTAATTTGAATATATGGTAATACAAAATAATACAATATTAAAAAAACATATTATTTATATAAAATATAAGTGTTTACCTATATAAACTTAGAATTATTTAGTGGCACTTTACCTAACTACATACTCTATTAAAATTTATAGAAATATTTAATATAAAGCAATTATTTGATTTAGCATTTATTCTTTTAAATTTAATTAAAAAATTCAAAACTATATTGAAATAGTAACTGTACAACAAAGATATATATACACTCGTAAATGTGTATACGTATATAATCGTTTGATTTATGTGTATATAATAAACGTTTAGTATGTTACATAGTGCATAGGTATTTGCTGTAAATTTATTCTTTTAAATATATATTCAGTTTCTGTGAAATATATTTAGTTTCTCTAATCTAGTCTAGTTAACAAATAGAAATACTAGAAATTTTTTTCTCAGTGTATGAACATTTCTCATTTGTATTTTTGTAAACTTTTTGAAAACCAAAACTCAAGCTTTGTACGCTTTTTATTTGTTTTGAATGTGTCTTTTTGGCTTAAAATTCTTTTAATTTTTTATTAATTTAATGCAAATTAGTACACTGTAAAAAAAAGTTGTTACTTGTTAGAAATACATACCACATCAGAACGAGTACACATGAGCAATTAAATCGTTATTTTCATAAAAATCGCTCATTCAGTCAACACGTCAACTTTTACACTGAAAAACAATGAACATTAAAGAAACATATTAATTAATATAAAATAATATATTCTTTTGAAAGTAACTAAAACTAAATTAACTTATTTTGGCCTATTTTTTTTTCATTTTTCCGTGTTTAATAAATAATTCACTCAATATTAATGCAAAAAAAAAAAATGCGAACGAAAAAATTTACAGCAACTACTTTTGTGCGCTACACAGAGCCTGTTCGCCTGTGATACACAACAAGGTGGCGCCGCACAGGCCAATGGCAGTTCACCAACCTCAATCCAGGTATGGGGGGCTATGAAAGATAATGCTAAATCATATTAAAGCTGTTTAATATTAAGTTCTATGTTGTTAAATTAAACGATTGCTCTTAACCTCAACTCATTTCAACATATAAATTTGACATTTTCAGGCTCCCGCTCCTCCACCCATCATAGACTGCAAGTCGAACCCGCCCGCTTATTCGTTCGTGCAGGGTTGGCAATTGCTAGCACTTGCTGTGTCCTTATTTGTGCCCAAGTCCAGTCGTCTGTTATGGTATTTAAAACTACATTTGGCTAGAAATGCAGATACCAAAACCGAAACTGGCAAATATGCCGCCTACTGTGAGAGAGCGTTAGAACGTACTCTTAAAAATGGAGGTCGCGAAACGAAACCTTCGCGTATGGAAGTGTTGTCAATTTTAATGAAGAATCCATATCATCACTCTTTACCGCATGCTATTCCTGTGCACATGATGAACTCAACCTATCAGGTGAGCTATTATAAACAATTCAATATATATTTAAATATATCTTTAAAAATATTTTTAATAACGTTATTATTTTTTGTATTATATAGGTAATATCTTTTGATGGCTCAACTACCATCGAGGAGTTCCAAACAACTTTAGCGCAAGAGATAGGTACTCGTGATTCGACAAATGGTTTTTGTCTCTTTAGTGACGACCCGATAGAGAAGGATTTAGAACATTATCTTGATCCACTTGCTAAGTTGTGTGATGTTATATCAAAGTGGGAAACTGCATTGCGAGAAAAAGGTTCTGGAAAATTCGAAAACTCACGTGTCATTCAACTAACCTATAAGAATCGGCTCTATTGGAAGCATGCTGTAAAATTCGAAACTGATAAAGAACGATTACTGCTTTGTTATCAAACGAACGCACAAATAGTGCAAGGACGTTTTCCTCTGTCACGCGATTTAGCTTTGGAACTGGCTTCACTTATGTCACAAATCGACATGGGCGATTATTCGCATGAAAAATCCCGTGGTGGCACCACAAATGTTGGACTTAAAGCACTTGATAAATTTTATCCTTATCGGTATCGTGATGCCTTAACTGCAGATCAACTGAAGGAAATACAAGAACTATTAATATCTAAATGGATGTTACTAAAAGGACGTTCTACACTTGATTGTGTGCGCATTTACTTAACTTGTTGTCGTAAGTGGCCCTTCTTTGGTGCGAGTCTCTTCCAAGCAAAACCACGTCACTCAGATCAAGCCATGGCTTGGTTAGCTGTTTCCGAAGATGCGCTCAACGTACTAGAACTCTCATCTATGGCACCAATTGCTCGTTATCCATACTCAACGGTTATGACATTTGGTGGCTGTCAGGATGACTTTATGCTTGTCGTTACCAACGAGGATACACTAGCAACTTCTACTTCACAAGAACAAAAACTACTTTTTGCTATGAGCAAACCAAAAATCTTAGAAATAACACTACTGATAGCAGATTACATGAACGCTTTAGGTCACACGGTTCCTGGTACTCCGCAGATGAATACACTAACACGCAACGGTTCGCATCGTTCTTTACGCTCACGCCCTGGTGCAAGCGGCAATAGTGGCACTGGTGGTGCTGGCGGTACCGGTTGTGGTACCGCCACAGCCGGTATGTCCACAAATGCTACAACCACAGCACATAATACACTAAATTCACATACCACACACACATTGAACTCCACGCATTCTTCGCATTACAGCAGTGGCATAGGCGTTGGTCATGGTAACAGTTCAGTGGGTGGCAGTTTACAAGGCACTATGAATTCAACACATAGTCATCATCATCATCACCATCATCATCATCAACCTGATATACTTAAGAGCACACCCGATCATCAGCGTATAAAATAAAAAATTGTAAATATTATATTGGAAACATTTCAAAAAAATTTTAAACACCAAAAAGTATGCTAAGACTTTTTACACACAACGTTTAACACTCGAAAAATGTGCTATGTGTTTTGTAAATATTTTATTTTTTTTAATATTTTTTATAATAGATATATAAACTTAACTAAAGATTGTATACATTAGTCTGTAAGTATTTTAGTATTTTAGTATTTTAGAATATGATAAATTATATGTAATTGACTTATTAACACCGCACCTACACTAACACACATATATCGTAATATATATGCATACTCATGTAAACTTAGGGTTATTAATTAAACGAAACAATGAATACCAAAAACAATAATGGATTTACAAAAATAAAAAAGAAATAAATTGTTTGTTGCTCATACAACGATTGGTTAAAGTGTTTTGAAAGTGGAAAAATTATATTTAATTGTCGTGAAAAATTGAAGTTTTTATTAAAGATCAATAATTTAGTTGAGAAAAATGTATTATTTCACTTTAAAGATATTTTATTTAACAAATATATGGATTAGTTTATATGATATTAACCAAAGACTATAACATTTTAATTTTAATTATATATACTTAAAAGGAATTATGCACAATCGAGAAAACTTATATTTGAATTCAATTTTATTTTAGATGTACATTTTTTAACTAACTGTTCAATTAAAGTTTATATAAAACTGAATAAAACATTTTGGTAATATAAATCAAAAATTATATAGTATATAAATTTATTTACAGACTTTATATTTTTTTATAATTTATTTATTTACGAAAATTATTAATTCTTTTAAGCTCTTAACTCTAAGATTAAAATTGCTTCTTAAAACAAAATATTTGTACAAAATATCTATAATTAAAATCTGACACAATATCGATTCCCCGGATTCCCACGGGTATATGACAACGTTTCTTAGTACAAAAAGCTTTTTTACCTACGCTATATTCGTATGTCAAAATAGCTTAGTTTTCAGTATACCTGGGCTTTATTTATTTAAATTTAAACATTTTGAAATAACAATCAAGCACAAGTCCACTTGTAACTTGTCGTTAGTTATCGTTTATGTTATTAACTATAAAATTACAAAAATCTTGACGCTGGATGACGTCTCTAGTTTTCGTTGGTATAATCAATGTAAAAGATGGCATATAGCATAGTGAAAAAAGTTGCTTAAAATAGCTGAGTACTGAAACCCGTTGCCAAATCGGCGGAATCGCACCAAAACTCCTTTTCAAAAAAAATATATATATAAATGAAACTAAAGTTAAACCAACAAAAACCTTAAGGCTTAACACTTATTTCGATATACTCGTATGACTTCCAAAATATAATAATAATAATTTGATATAAAGCAATGACCAGTCTTCGATGCTTATAACACAATCAGATAGATATGCTTTTCATACATTTCTCATGTTATATATATGCATTTGTAATACAGACCGTCCTCCCAGTGCTCTAAAAATTCATTTTTACATATAAAATTATTTTTTTTTATTTATTTAAAATTAATTATAAAAGCTTTCGTTAAAAAATAAATCAATGTTGACTGTAGAGCATTTTGGTAATAATAGAAATTATATATAATTAGAATACTTCAAATCATTTTGTATTTGAGAAAAAAATCTATACAGGAAATTTATAGAAATTTACAACAGCAAGAAATCAGGTAAACAAATTATACAATGTAAAAATATTTTTTTTTTTAATTTAGTAGAAATTATAGATATGCAAAAAATATGTTTTATTTTCAACACTAAATCGCAAAGATTTAAATATAAAAATGTATAATGCTTTGACATCTTCATTGCAATAAAAGAAATTCTGTATGCATGTGAAGAACACAAAAAAAACTTATACATAAAATCATTTTATCATTTATTTACATCTTCTATCTACTTATACTTCTCGATTATTAATATTTCTAACTTTAAATTTTCCAATTCACAGTGTTGTTAATAGCTGCATAGAACCCTTTTTAGTTATGATGGTTATTCTTTTCCAATAAAGATTCGGTTTAGATATATATTAAATACAGGTTTATCCAATTTGTGGATACGAAAGTAAACATATATGATATACACTTATAATTGAGATATTGATCAAATTTTAATTTTAGTATTTTGTGTGAAACATTCTCTATGGGACACTTACAGTATTAGATCCTTTTAAGATACATACCAATGACCTGTCGACACAGAGCTGGCAGCAGTTTAGCCACAACTTAACGGATGATCTTTTCAAAAGCATCGACAGTTTATGGATTGTTCACAAAGATATGATTCTTTTAAGTGAGCAACCAAAAAAAATCCACTAAGTTATATATTCAGATTCATATCAAAATGAGTCTGCACATATGAGATATTCCATGCGCAAAAAAATTTGAAACTATACGTGTTGTATGTCTTGTGGCTCTTCTACACGATTCTGCTGTTGAAACCACATATCTAGTATGAGATATAATATTATATACCATATATTATTTTAAATTCCACACCAAAAAAATGTATCTGTAGCGAACAGAATGAACTGTTTGCGTCACAGTTTGTTATTTCTAACGAAAAACAGCGAAAAATACAGTCTCGTCACTGAAGAATATTTGTTGTAGAAACCGTTGTTCGATACGATTACGCATTGCATGGTCAGACGACTTCACCTCCCATGTTAACTGAATTCAAATGCAAAATACACATTATTTGCTGTTTGAAATACCCGAATCCAAATAAATTTGGATCTTCTTTGACACTTTCACTTATATGTTTATTTTAGCCAAGCTAACACTTCAACGTCTAGGCCTTAGCCTGTTTTACATACTCAATTCCTTTAAATTTCTTCACCGTTCGCTTACAATGCGCTAATTGACGATTATTTCGACCATTACAACTTAGAAATATTCCTACAATAGAATCACCATGAAACAACTTTTTACAATATTAACACGTTCGGCGGTTGCTAAACGATCCGATTTATGTAGTGCCCAATCATAAACTAAACATATGATAATTGCAATAAGAATTCTGTCTGAAATGTATCTCTTAGACAATATGTACAAACAAATCAGGACCACGAAATGGATAACCCTTTATATATATGTATTCTCAACCCATAAAAACACATCAATGCTTACACGTTTAATGTTATATTCATGTTATAGAAATCTTACTCTATATGTTAGTATGTTTATTGTTTTAATGTCAACTACATATTAGCTTTCTCTCACCATTTTATGTACATGCCTGTTAAATTTGGCACCTGATTCACGATTCAGAGTACATAGCACAGTCGTAACAAGTGATCCACATACCTTATGCATGTAGAAGAGTGCACCAATCACCACGTCACATGTACAATGCATCAACATAATTTTATTAAACATTAAAACAATTTTTAAACAAAAGTTTAAACTATGTTTCCTATTTGTTTACAATAAACAGTATATAAAAATAAAAAAAGCAAAAACAAAAAAATGCAAAAAATGTAAAAAATTATACTTTGTAATTATTTTTAAAAAAATATATATACAAAATTCTATATACATATATATATTATTATATAAGATAGTTAATTACCAAATACTCACTGTTAAAAATACTAAATTTATATCCTTTTTATGCTGACTATAATATCATAATTAATGCAATTATAATTGTAAATGACATGGAAATTCTAATATTTTATATCTTTTATTAATTATATTTATTATTACTTATACATATACATATATATATAAAATATATAAACATAGTTGTCTGTAGCCAAACACAAAACAAATTCACTAAAACACTTGCATATAAAAAGAATCCAATATATTACCATTTTCTACACTTTTTATTAGTAGAAAATAATAATTAATAAATTTCTACAAAATTATTATATCAATTATTATTTGAACAATGTCGGAATATATCGCATTTTTTGTAAAGAAACGAAAAAGAAAACATTTAACAGAAAAATAAAAACATTTAATGAAAACAAAATAATTGTTTATATTTAACATATATCTCTGCTAAGAATATTATAGTATCTATAAAATTAAGAATTTTTATAGGTTAGTTCATATTTGCTTCTTAGATGAAATATATAGATGAAAGTGTATTGGTTAAAATTGGTACGGATTACACCACTTCGTTACTTCGCTGTCTGGAAAAGCAAAACTAATACATCATATTCTTAATAATAGCTACTTCCACCTATCCACCCATTTTTTATCCTACCTTACTCCCTTACTCGCCTTAACTTTTACTTAAACTTAAGTCTCATCTATAAAAATTTATCAATCAATTAATTCTACTAATCCAACTATGTGTTTTATTTTATCCACTACATGCTATGCAATATGATAATATTTTTGTTTATTTTTTTATTCATATTTTATTTCATCTTTTTTTTATTAACCATAAATAAATTTTTTATTATAAAACCATCATAGGAATAGTTGCTCCGATTAACATAACATGATAATAACCACTAAATATTACTTTCTTTTAAATTATTCCTTAACACTATGTGGTCAGATGAAACCCCTCCAACCTATTTGCAGACAGCCTGTTATTATTTAGAAGATTAGTAGCGACCTCATCGGAATGCCAACGTAGTCTTCACTCTTGGTGAAGTTTTGAATTTTTTCAATCCAAACGAAATTTTCAATGAATATGGGAATTTGATGCATACGATAGAACTTCGATTATATTTCTTAGTGCTTTTGATTGGGACCTTTGTGGTATATCTATATTAGGAATACTTTAAGTACCCCAGAGTTCTACAACGTACTTTCCGATAGGTTTAAACATGCCTTCGTACAGTAGAACATTGCTATCCAAACATATTACTGAGTTGGGCGAGAGTAGCCAGTACAAATTTCTCGTATCTTAGAAAAATTGCACTGCTTGCCTTTATTATGGTTTCTCTATGTAAGCCTGCCTATATATATATAAGCCTATATCAGATTCATATTGTGAAATTGCAACGTTGTTAAGATTAATTTCAAAACAGGTTTCCTACTGAGATTGAAACATTTATCGAATCATTTCAGTTGCACTTGTAGATATTAAGATGATTCAGCTGGTGATTGAGCGGTTGCTATAATTGCTGTGCCATCCACATATGGTTCAACGATTTCTTCATTTTTGGCGGATAGCCCTATGGTGAATATGGTATAAAACAACGTTCCAAACACTTCCTTGTGGAACCCCAACATTAATACAATATATATTTGATGTTGTACATAAAAGTATCGATTACTAATATAAGACTTCAAAAGCAATAAGTGAGGATCAAGAGGTAGCTTTTCAATCTTATAAAGAATACCTAGATAATAATAGTTTGTGTTAAAGAAATCTTATCAAAATTTTATAATTTAAAACATATATTTAGATATATATTTCTAACTAGTAAAAACTGGTCTAACTAGTTTGTGGTTAGACGATATTAATCTAGTCGGACGAATAATTGACATGAGTATGCAACAACAATTAAACGATCATGAGTAAGTGATAAGATTCAGTATTATATATGATTAATTCTTTAACCAAGATCACATATAAGTTGTCACATATAAATAAGAGTTAAACTCTGAATAAATAATTCGAATAAATTCTGAATTTGTGGTCAATACTAAAAGACAATTGGAGATAAGTAATTATTTCACATATAAAAGTTGCCTTGGTATCAACATAACAATGGACCCAAAGCAAAAATATTTTCTATAACATATATACTTAATATACTACCAATAAGTTTCCTGCACTGGCGTTATTACTCAACTACTATATGCAGACAAAACTTGACGTTGACAAATATATATGACTTAAATAACTAGTGCCATATCCACATAAAAAGGTAGAAAGGTAATTTTTTTATTATTATATATAATTTTTATTAATTTATTATTTGTACAATTTGCACTTCATAAAAGTTTAAATTGTTTTTAAAACATATATATATTTTTTTTTGTATACATATGAAGATTTTATTTTACTAACAAATAAGAATAATTTAAAAATACGTTTTCGAATACAATACAATCAAACAACGCCAATACATACGACATAATAAGCAAAATTTTGAAAAAGGAATTTTCTTTCTTAATTAACCTTGTTTTCATTAAACCAATTAATTTGTTTTAAAATTATATTTTCAATATTTGTAATAACTTAACTAACCTGCACCAATAGAGTTGTGAAAAAAGTTAATAATAATAAAAAAAAAGGGAACTCAATTTAAACAATAGCAACAAAATTGCATTAAATGCAACACATAATCAGATTTAAATCAGAAATAATAGATCAACAGAAAAGTCTTTTGATTAAAAAGTATTAAATGCTTTATAAGTAAAAATAAAGAATTATGAAAAGGAATATATTACAATATTAATTTTACATAGGAAGAGAACATATACAAACATATTTCACATATTTTATAATTGATAATTAAAAAAAAAAGTTACATTAAATTTACAAAAATTAAACTAAAAATAAATCTTTTTTTACAATATTGAAAATAAATTGTTATACAAGTTTCGCATTTTAAAGCGAATTATTATTATGTTATAACTGTTGATGTTTATATTATTCGTTATCATCATTTTTTATTAATACAATTTTTTAGTTAGATAATCTGTTGTTTTGTCTTTAAGAAGAATTAAAACTATTTAACAAATTCAATATTTAGTTATAAAAAATCAAAATAGTTATATACGAGTTTATTCCGGTACATGTTGAATATTAAATTTACGTGTATCTTAGAATCTAAACTAATTCGCGCCGCATTTCGTTTCGTAAATTGTATTAATTATTAATTTAAGTAGCCTATTTAGTCGACTTTTAGAAATTGCTAATTAAACTAATTTCGCAAATGGCTTCGCACTTCTCCCTCGTTCCACTATTGATCACTTTAATAACCTGCGCCATATTGATTAGGATTATAAAATTGTGGAACCTGTAAATATAATAAAAGTATTAAGTTAAAAAGTGTATTTAACTCGTTTAAAAACAATGAATAAACATAAATATTAAATATTATCTTTTTCTTGACTTCTAGATCAATTTTTTTATTTTTATATAATATTCAAAAAGGTAAACATTCATTTTTAATTGAAATAAAATTAAACCGATCCCCATGTTTCAATTTCAATGTACAGTTTAGTTTTTTAAAAACGCTATTAATTTATTTATTTTAATATTATATAAAAATAAAAAAAACGTTCTGAAGCCCCACCTAAAGACAAGTCCATAAACTAAAATTAATTTTTTTTATTTAATATTTTTATTTATATTTTCTTTTGTTTTTTTGAATCGACTTACATCTTGTTGTGGAACTTGTTGCTCCTGTTGCTGATATGAACTACCATCATTTGCAGTTGGTGTAGCTCCTGGAATAAAATAGCCACCAGCTGGTACAGTAACGGGTGGTAAAGTTGGTGCCAATACATTTTCAGCAGCTTTTGACATAGGCGCACCAGAAGGATTAAATACATCCACATATGAGTTTTTAAGAGCTATATGGAAAATAAATATTTAATATAATATTTAATATTCAAAACTTAAATGTTCAAATTTATATTTTAAATATTTAATCTATATGTCTCTCTATATATTACTTGACGCGTCTTTTCAAATGTCTTCAATATACCATCTTCGAAACAAATTGTTTTTTATATGATGGTGGGGTCTTAATTAATGACCATAAATAAAAATGTTTTAATGTTGTGGTTCCCCGCGTTATATAGAGTTTGACTCTTATAAATATGAAGAAGTTTACGAGAAAATTGAATTAAAACAATTTTTTTTTTGGTGATCAATATTGACCGTAACTAAGAATGTTGTACCTCCCTATGGGAATTCCTATATTGGGCAAAATATTGCCTTAAGAAAACTGGTTAACGCCCCATGGTACGTAAGAGGAGCGGATATCCACAGAGATCTGAGAGTCGACTCAGTCGAAAAATACATTAAAGATCGTGCTCTGAAACTGTTCAATATAATTGACCGTCACAATAATCCAACTCTCAGCATCCTAAAAATACAGCGAAATTTGATAAACACAGGCAGATACAAAAACATCAGATCCATCATATTATAAAGCCCCGTATTCTGTTATTCTTAGTGTGACTTAAAACTGTCCACAGATAAAATAGAGTAAAGGTGCTGATTCACCAACTCAGACATCTGAATATCATATATGTTGTATATATCATCGAGACCAATTCAACTATTAAGGAGTTCATTTGAAACGCACACATATATATATATTTATATGTATTTATACATATTTATATGTATTTATATATATTTATATGTATTTATACATATTTATATATATTTATATATACAAACATATAAAGTTCACTTAACTATAACAGATTAAATAGTAAAAAAATTAAGTACTAAAAATATCGAAACCCATTTTATCGTGCATATTGTTGCTACATCGACGGAAAACTGAGTAATAGTAACATTTTTCAATTTTTAAAGCAAAACTAAGCTTATTTATTTCATACGAAACAATTAAGCTTCTTAGTGCTTACAATATCGATTCTCAACTTAAAGTAAACAGTATTTTAAACAATGACAAGATGAGAATTAATATTGCTATGATTTTATACAGATTCCTCTAAATTTTACGGTAAGCTATACTAAACCAATTATTTATTTAAATATATGAACTCACTTCGATTTCTTTGCATTTTAAACATATTTGATTGCAAACTTGGTGGTTTTGGAGCAGCATTTGCAACATCTGTAGTAGTTGTACTTGCCGCAGCTATACCTGCTGCACTATAATTATGTGGAGCTTCTCCAGTATTAGGAGAATTAATTGGTGCAGCAGCTGCATTAGTTGGCATAGGAGTCGGCAATCTATTATACTGATGTATGTCCTGTTGTTGCAATAGTTGTTGTTGTTGTGGTTGTTGTAGCTGTGGTTGTGGCTGCATTTGTTGTTGAGGTTGTGGTTGTTGATGTAATTGTAATTGTGATTGTGGCTGTGGCTGTGGCTGTTGTACACCCATTTGCTGTGGCATTATATCACTCATTTTGGGTGGCGGTTTAAAACTTTCTTCGCCATTTTCATCACCATCAGTGTTAACCCAACGTTTCTTATCTGGATCCCAAACAATTGATGGATTCTTATCATCAGGCAAAATCATTTGATTTTTAGGTTTTAATGATAACTTATTCCAAATACCACCAAACCAACCAGAATTCTGATTTGATTGCTGTGTACTATTAACCAATATTATTATTATATTAAACATTAAACATTAAAAAAAAAATTAACTTACGTTTTATTTCCTTCATTTTTATTTTGTTGTTGTTGCTGTGCATTCTTTGCTTGGTTACTAGAAGTCTTGAAATCTTGTTGCTGCTGTTGCTGTTTTTGTTTTTTAAGAATCTCATCGTCAGAATCATAAGATTTAGATTTTGGCATCGATATCGTAGGTCGTGCACTCTAAAGTTATTCATGAATTTGAATGTTTTGTTAGAAATGATAAGTACAACAGAAAATTTTTAAAAAATAATATATAGAAGCAGTTGCTATTTATTAGATAAAGATATTAGTAAATAACAGTGAAAATGAGTGGTAAGTATTGAGAAAAACAAGTTATGTTAAGTGTTTAGGAGAAAATAAAACTTGATTTTTTCATATTATTTTAGCTGCATATACTTCATATTTATTTTGAAAATAATTTTAGTAGTCACTAGAGTACGCTCAAATAAGTAATAATAAACTATAATAATTATTACATTTCATTCTTAAAGACAAAACACAATTCCACAAGCTTTATTTATCAATATATACATTATTACATATATATTAACGCCAATATACATACTTTAATTTTAGTTAAGGTAATTTAAAAATATTTGTAATTAAAATTATATGAAAATTTAGTTTATTTTGGAAATACAAAATAAAAATACAAAATTTCAATAATACACTTTAAATATATACTTTTTATTTGTATTGTTTTGGGAAAATTACAAATTTTTACTGAAAGCATTCTTATTGTTCTAGTTTTGCGAAGCTTTATTAGACCAACAATAATACAATAAATTAAAATATACAATTAATGTGTTACACATTTTTATCACTTATTACAAATAAACCATATAATTTTATTAAATTATTTCAGCAGTAGAAAACACCTATAAAATATTCATATATTAAACATAGTGCAATATAATTTTTTATTTGATCATCATCATTCATGATGATGATTAAATCAATTATTTATTTTTTAACTGGAATCATTTTAAAAATATTAATATTAACATTTACTGAATACATTCTGAAAGATAGGTTGTAAAATAAAATAAATTAAAATATTGTAATATAATAAATTAAAGAAAACAAAATTATAGTGATATCAGCAACTAAATTAATCCCTAGAAGCCTAGTAACGAATCTGTCTGAACACAATGTAACACGTGCGCTAGAATTGATTTAAAAAGCAGGGATGTTGTCTTAGAATCTGTGCTGTGTGAATTTTGTAAGGGATATATTACAACCCGCTTTTCAGATAGTTGGATTTAACTTCATTATCAAAAAAATTAAAAAAAATTGTATTTTAAAATTTAATGATATTGAAATATTTTGAAAAAGATTTTTCCGTCTAACAAGAATTTTAATTAAAAGATATGAGATATTATTATTTAAAGCCTAAATTTTTCTTATGAAATAAATCTAAAAAAATTATCTATCTAACAAGAAATATAAAAATATAAAAAATGTTTATAAAAAAAATATTATTCATTATCTATAGCAGATTTCTTCAATCGTCAGTCTGCGTACCACCGACAGACCGTGGCATTAACATTATCAATCATTATTTTTTTTTCATTTGTTCATTATTATTTTGTGCGAAAAAATATTGTTTCGGACTAAAATATATTTCAGATTGAGAAACGGGTATGTAGTATGTGTTACATCTAAACCGGTACTTCGAACAGGAGAAGGAAAAACCAATATTCTTGCTGGAGTGAAAATCGGAACTTAACTTAAAAACAATAAAATTTAATGGAGAATTTTTGAACAGTAGTGAATTACAACAACAAAATTATATTATTTTTAAATAATTAAAATTAAAAATAGTAGTGCTATGGAGTGTTGCCAATTACTTTTATCATTGGTGGTCTTTTAGGAAATATTTCTAGTATTTAAATATTCGTAAATAATTTTTTGACACTGCAAATACGAAAGGTTGAATTTGTACCCTGCCAAATTTGATGGGCATTCAATTAACTAAAAATAATAATAAAAAAGTTGTTGTCCTTCACTATTGTTTAAAAAACCTCTCTATTATAAGCAGTAATGTGTATTAGCAAATAATGGCTTTTGTCATGGGTTTCAAAGTCAAAAAAATATATATATGATGTTTTACATTGATGCAACACCGTACTGTTCAGTTTCTGCTGCCTCACGCCTATACGTTTTTAGTTAATAGTGCAAAAACAGTTTTTATATATAAACGAAGAAATTTGTTTTTATTGCATAAATGAATTGACTATGCTTTTCTAAAAGAATTAATAAAATGGATTTAATTAAGACAAATTACCTAAATTTTAATGCAAGATACATAAAAGTAGTGGAAACTTAACTAACAAGCGAAAATTGAAATAAGCCATAAACTGGAAGATACCGAGAATAGGAACCGTAACGATATTTTTTTTTATTTAACTGTAAGGAAAACTAGAAAGAAAAAAGTTCCGGTTGGAAACTCTACTCTAAGCTTTTCTAAAAACTATTCAAAAGTAGACGTTTAGAATGATTCTATTAAACTGTTCTTTTCTATTATTATTTTAAAAGTAAAATTTTTAAATATGTGATTTGAGATTCTATTTTAAGCTTTTCCAAGGGTGAAGTTGAATATAAATTTATTAACTTAAAAAGTTAGTTTAATTCAATCAAACATAAAATATTAAAAAAAATAAAACATGTAAGAATAATTACAAAAATTAAAAAAATACTATTAGCAAAATATTATTGTCCCAAATAATTATTAATTATTACAAAGAACGTATATTAGTTAAAAAAGTAAGCTGAAAATATTTTACATACAATATAAGAGCAACTGTCATTTCATGTGCAGTATTTTACGCAATTACATTAGCTTTGCTATAAGATTTTTGCAATATTTTTACACAAAATATATAATAAGAATTTATTTAATAATATATATATATATATATATATATTTAATAGCAAATTGTTATACAAAATAGTAACAATATTAAAGATTAATAAATGCTACGTTTAAAACATATTAATTTATACATTTCGCATTGCAAAGCGAGTAAATACTAGTCGTAAGAAATGGTCGTTGAAATACTATAATTATTATTATTATTATTCTAAATATTTTGAAATATTTTAGCTATACCAAACAAATAAGTCACAATAATGAAATTAGCGCACTTAAAAGTTATTTACAAATTCTTTTTATCACTACTGCTATGTGATCTATGAGATGCTAACGTTGGCGATATTTCGATTGGACAATCAATATCGAAACTGCGCACAGTTGAAGATGTACGTTCGCTCTCCTTTTTCGAAAAAGAACGCGTATCGAGGTATTTTTCGAAGTGTGTCAAACTTTGCTCGACTTCATTACACATTTTCTTGTAGTTCAAAGGAATCGAGGGATTTTCAATTAATTCCTGCATTGACCAAACACTATGTGGAGTTGATGTTTCTATATCCTGCGTTGTTGTCAACGCACTCAACGGCTCATGCGCTTTTGTAGTGCAGAGCTTTTGAGTTTTTTTAATTATACCAAAATTATCTAAAAAACTCTTTTTAGTATTATGATTCATCTCATCAACAATGTATTCTTCGTCATCATCGTCGTCGTCATCATCATCATCATCATCATCGTCATCATCATCATCATCATCCTCCACATCAGCATCCGGTTCATCTATGTCATAATCATTGTTAAGCATATATTCATATTTCATTTGTGCCACACCGATATTCGCCTCGGGATCATAATCAGCAGCGCGATTCTTAAACCGGGACTGAATGGGCATATCTATTGGATAAGTGCCATTGAAAACTATATTCTTCGGTTGTTGTTGTTTTTGCTGATAATGTAGGCAATGATTTAAATGTTTTGTGGGCAACTTTTTGCTGTAGCTTGCATTTATGCTTAAGTCATTTAACTTAAGTGAGTTAGTAGTGGTCTTGAAGCAAGTATTTAATGAGCTTGGTTTAAATGCTGTCAGTGCACTACAATGCAATTGCTTACGAATTGCATCCTGACTATCGTTTTCACTCTCAATATGTTGCTCACTTTCATTCTCATTCTCATTGTCATTGTCATTGTCGTTTTCGTTTTCGTTTTCCACTTCGGCAATTGTTGTTGGCAAATCAAAATTAACACGTTTTGTTATTAGAGCAACATTTGCTCTTTCTGTTATTGCTGTCGTTTGGTCTGGGGTGAATCTGTTATCGTGATAGTTATCGTTATCGTTAGCGGTATTATCTGTAGCTGCAGTATTTTCGCATAGAGATATTGGCGGTATTGGCGGTATTGGCGATATAGCAGTTGTCGTATTAGTAGTACTTTTAACATTACTTATAGTATTATTTTGGAAATAGTTTTGCTGTTTTGCGTTTGCTGTTAGACTACATTTCAACAAAGTCAAATTACTTACATTATTGGTTAGGAAAGGAGTTGGTGTTTGATCTTCTTCTACATCGGTACGTCGTTTTTGCTGTTGAGCTTTAAGGGTTGCTGCTGTTAGCCTGGCGTTGTTTGATTTCATAGCAACTGCTGATTTAGTTAAAGCGTTCGATTGATTTCTATTGAGATTCGTACTCATGCCTTTAAGGTGTGCAGCAATATGTTTACTTTGATATTGTTGGGCTTTATATTTTTGTAAATTTTTTAGCTGTTCCTTTGCTTCCATATTTAATTTCTTTCTTGTCGGTAATGATTTTATAACTAACACCTTTTTGGTATTATTTTCGTTGTTGGTGATATTAGTGCCCAAACTCGTTGTAATATTATGATTATTTTCAGGAACTATACTTTTTGCAAACTGCATTTCCGTAATATGAAAGCGTGCACAAATAAGGAGTTTTTAAGTAATGTTTTAATATGACAAAATACCATAGATGATAAAAAGCAGAGTATATAATATAAATGTAATTAACATATGTATCCTCTTATGATTCGATATATACACAAGATATGCGAGAATGTATCTCCATACGAAAACTTTGTTTCAAAATATACAACTTACCTCATCATGAATTTGTTGTTGTTGTGTAGACCAATAATCATAACTGCCGGTACTCTGTTGAGCGTCTATCGGTACATCTGCATTGTTATATTGTTGCTGATGAAGAGTTGGATCATAATATAAGTTGGTTTGCTCTGGTTGTTGCTGTTGTAATTGTTGTTGTTGCAATTGTTGTTGTTGCTGCGTAAAATCTTGTTGAATTTGGGCTGAATAATTTGTATTGTATGGATCCACAGCAGGTTGTAATGTGCTACTATCTGGTACGACTTTATTATGTGTTTCTGCATATTGTTGTTGATTAATATAATCAGTAACACCCGAATTATATTGCTCGTTTGCATCTAAGTTAGATAAAGTAGGCTGGTGTTGTTGCTGTTGTTGTTGTTGTTGTATCTGATCTGCTTGATACATAGGCACATCGGTATTGTTGTTACTATATTGCAAATTCAATTCATTGAATTGCTTGTTTATCTCAACAAATTGCTGATCAATTTGATTTTGATAATTATATTGACCATCATTTGCAGTGTCTAATGTATTAGTTGGAACCTAGTATAAGAAGAGAATAAATTTAAATAACATTTGAGAAGATTTAATGAGATTAAATTATTTTACGTTGTACTGAGCAGCAATAGTTCGCAAATCTTGTAGCCATTTTTGTTCTTCAAAATTAGGTACACCATTGTTTAAATTGTCATCAGTATTCTGTTGCTCGTCAATTGTTTTGTCCAATACTGGATCGTAGTATTTTAGGCGATCAGCCAGTTCATATACCTGTTAAAGTTGTATTAGAATAAAATTATACTCGTGTAAAGATTACAACTTGCAGGGCGCCACAATTTTACGAGGAATTTTATTTAATTTCATTAAGCTGAGTCATTTTTTCCATTGTGCTAAATGCCGATATAGCTTAATTCTTGAGATATCGAAAGTTAAAGTTATATTTTTTTATATTGATTACACAAACAAAAAGCAATCACTACATTTACCGACAATGAGTGTATAAAATTTTAATTTGATTAAACAAACGACAAATCAAGATAACTAAAACTGCCATCAATGTAAAAAGTTTACAACTTTAAAGCTCGACATATCGACAACCAAACATATCGACATATAGAGCCATGGAAAAAGTTGGTCAAAATAAAAAAATTTGACAAAATCCGACGGCAAACAGAGGCGCTCAGGAAATTATAATGTGCCTACTTTGTTAATAAATGTCGGTTCATATTTGCTAGGATCACGTTGAATATGCAAGGATATTTGTTCCATGTACATAAGACTCTTTAAATGAAAACCATAATCCAACATCCGCGTAGCCAACAGATATTTATAAGGCTAAAATATATATAAGAATAATTAATTAAAACATTAAACAATTACACAATAAGGCACAAATTAAAAAATAAACTTCAAATTTATATAAAACACTAGAAGTATAAAAATAAATATAAGTTCTCCTTTTTATATACTATTAGGTATAATTATATTAGGTCCTAAATTTAACGCAATATCATTAAAGCTAAAATTTCATTCATATGTATACATATAAATAATAAATATATGTACTTATTATTTTAATAAAAATATAAAAGCACATAGCATATATGCCACAGAATGTGAATATGATTATTTTAGGCGGTGAAGAAATATTAAATTTAATTTGTAATTAAGATAGTTGCCAAGTTAGGATTAAAATATTACATAAAAATTATATTTTTGTTCATTTAAATTATGAATGCTTCCATTGAGGCTCTATAAGTAAATAAAGCTATATAAAAATTCTTGTTAATCTCGACGAAACCATAGTCACACTTGGACTTAATCATACAATAGTCAAGAGCTAATCATACGATTAAGTAGAATAGAGTGAAATGTGAAAATGAGAATGTAAGATGGAAATGAAAGGGAAAAGGAAGGGAACATGCAGATTGAATCTAATTCTAACTTTAATAGAGTACAACTTCAAATAAATTTGGCTGAAGACTGCTCTGGTTCAGAAATACTTTAGCGAAAATACATAAAATCTAATTTGGATAACTGTAGAGGAGTACTGCTTTAATATTTTTCTCTCTTTTCTTTTTTTAAATTTATGAAGTTTCTCCACTCTTCCAAAAAAAAAGTTTTTTTAATTAGTAAAAGTTGCGTACTCTTTTTGTGGAAATTTGTAGAAGATTGAATGTGTTTGGTGGCTTCGTAATCGAATAACTTACACTTACCAAAGTGATCAGTCTTCATGTTAAAGGAAAAAACCACGTCACATCGCAAACCAATTTTATGCTAGCAAAACATGTGTCGAGCGGAACATAAATTCATCACGTTAAATTGATGATGAAACGATCTCATTTAACTAAAAACTTACACCGAGAGTAGAACGAATCTTCCCCACCCTTGTTGTTTTGATATCCCATGAAAATCTATATAGCAAACAACATGAAAGGAATTACAAATACGAATACATGGTTTGGGATATGTTGAGAAACACGAGTAGATTAAGGATGGGCAGGAATGAACAATATAATAAGAACGTTAAATAGATCCGTGAAGAATTTTTTAAAATAATTAAATTGCAGTTCAGAACAGTTTGATTTATAAATTATTATGTTGCTTAATAAATTATTTAAAATCACATATTATTAATAACGCAATTGATATAAAAAGGATAAATAGGATTTTACACTAGGTTCACAGTAAAAAAACCTATTCAACTACTCTTGTATTTGCTAAACGAGAGCAATAAACACTTTAATGTCATATCTGACTTTCAACTATCTCTGAGATTAACACGTAATTATCATTTAGTTTCCAAGAACGGTCGGGTCAACGACCAAGTGCAGTTCACCACTCCCAAAGAATATCTACAAGCAGATCCCAGCGGATTACGACAGCAACAACAACAATTATCATATATGTACTGCAAAATAGTTATTTATTGCTAGTATTTTTAATGTACGAAAGTCTGTGCATATATTTTTATATTATATCATGTAAGCTGTATCAGAGATACATTCACTTATAGTTTTAACTGTGGATATAAATACCTGAAATTCAACTAAAGAAAATTTATCATCATTTAATGAGCAGGCATATTCATAAATTTCGGTCATTACAATAGCTTCATTAGTTGCGAATTCGTGGAAATTTTTATAATGTGAAGAACCCAAAAGCACCAATCTAAAAAACGATAATTAACATTTTAATTAAGTTAATTAGGGTAACAAAATAAATTTGTAAATATAACTTAAACTTACTTTGGTAAGGTCTGTTGCAAAGTAGTTTCCTGTGATGCACTTTCTTGATAACGCCCAAAACCTACTTGAGCCATTAAATAGCAGAAATGTGCAGCAAACAAATCGCCACGATTAAAAAGTGAATCACCCAGTGTGGTAATTGCTTTACGATCCAATTCGGGTTTTTGGGAAGTATTTGATAATATCATGGATAGATGTGGCCTCCAATCTCCCCATTTCTCATCTTGTACGCTAGTAACACTGGATGGAGTACGTCCACTCATTAGTTGATACAGTGTTTGTAGAGGATCATTTAGTGAAAGTTTATTAGCGAATTTCATCATAACATTCGCATGCGATCGGCGATCTACTTTGGAAGCAAGGAAAAGCGCATGACCCCAAAGATTATTATCGGTTGCCCAGTCTAGAGCTTCATTAACATTTCCATATAATAAGTAATTACGAAATTTATTTGTAATTTCTGTCTCAGAAGCGACGGACGACTTAGCGGCTGAAAAAGTTGTTAAGTCGACCTCAGATTTCGATGGTAAGTTGCTCTCTGATTTCATATCTTTGTCTTGTTCAATTTCAATATCACTTAGTTTGTTGTCATTTTCATCATTGTCACTTCCTTGAGAAGTGGCGCTATTAGATCGACTTGCTAGCGGTACAGAGTTTGAGGCAATAGAATTAGACTCGGACGCATTCACTACATAGGGAAATAATTGTTGATTTTTTAAAAGCAGTTCTGCTATATCCGTGCCGACTACCATCTAAAATATATTTAATGAAATATTGTTTGAAAAATATATTATAGAGAACTTTCAACTTACGCCATTTTGACGCACAAGCAATATTAACAGATTCCACATCAATGTGTATGATGCTCTGTACTTTTCTGCATTTGGCATCAGTTGCTTAGCATAGATTGTGCTTTCGTATGGTTTGAGACGTATCTGCTCTTCACAAAATTCAATTATAGTTTTCTTATGTGTTAAGCCGCGTACCAGTGGACCAGGAAAACTTTGACAAAATTGGAACGATGCATCGTTGACGGTCGGGCGCTGTAACTTAACAATATGACTCACATTGCCCTGCGATGTGATTTTTGGTTTCACTGTAACCAATACACCAGCTCCTAATGTTGCAACCGCATGCTCATTTAGAAATTTAAATGGCGTTAATCGCTGCTGTTCGGAAACTATCTGTTCCGCTCGTGCTAACGACACATTCGCCGATCTATAAATATTGACAGTTATATAAAAAAGTGCAAAAATGCATATCACTATATTCAGTTCAGTTAAAATTTTCATGCAATATTATTTTCACAATCACTTTTAAAAAACTCCAGTTTAACTGCAAAATAATTAAATAATAATAATCATGCAGAATCATATAAAACACTAATCTAATAATAGAGATTCAAAATAAATTCAAACGTAAATAATATTTCATTTAAAACAGGTATTTTTTAAGATACTAATTAAATAATAAAAAATCGAAAATACATTAAAATATAAATAATATTCCACATAAAATGGGCCTTACCGAGCTTTAAACACTAAATTTACTTATTTTTCTTAACAACTCGAGAAATATTGGGTATTACTAAGATTTCCTGATATATTTAGTTCAAAAAGTATCGAGAACCTATTTTGAAATACCGTGTTTATAAAATATTTATTGAAAAGTTGTTTCACATAATTGATAACTTCTATGTCAACTTTTAACGCCGCCTAATGACTAGCGTTTATTAGTCAAACCGTTTGAATGGGTCTTAAATGATATCTGTTTGAGAAATTATAATGACTATGATTTAGCAAATTAAATTAAAAATTAAAGTGATCGCACCAGCGTAGTTGATTAACACCCTTCTGAACGGCAGAAAATTGCCGACACTAGCAATGACATCAAAAAAATACTTTAGATGGTATTGGATGGTCAACGAAAAAAATCGGAGGATGATGAAACTAAGACTTTTGACCAAAAATGTATCACTTTAATCTTTCTAATACTCTATTACAAAAAAACTGTAGTAGACTGTAGATTCTGTGAAGAAAATGAGGAGTCAGCCACACATGTGCTGTTAGAATACCCTACACTAATGCACATACGAAATAGGTTGCTGGGAGTGTATATTCTTACGGAAGAGGCAATAAAACTCTGTAAAGTAGGTTGTATACTACTTTTTATTGACACAACAGGGCTTAGAGACCTACTCTAAACCCAGAAGGGGGCACAATAGACCCGACGGTCGTAGTGCAACATCCCTTAACAATAATAATAATAATAATACTCTATTAAAATTAGTTAGGAAATTTTACATTTCGGAAACAATAAAAAACAATTAAGTAGCTCTTAAGAAGGTTTAAACTGTGGTGGTTACGACTAAACAAGATCGTATAATAAATGGATAAATGGATTGGAACAATCCAAAGTTAGTAAGTGACTGATTACCACCAGTTATTGTTTTTTGTTTGTAAACAAATTATTATATCTACACAAAAAAGGAGTACTGGCTGCTATGGTCTACGACTTTTAAAATTGAAAATATTCAAATTAAAAGAAGTTAAGTTGTTGGACTGAAGAGGGGAAATTGTTTAACCCTAACGATTTCCCTAAGCTTCTAAAGAATATTGTATGTAAGAATTACTAATAATAGTAATACTGTTAACTAATAAAAATTAAATTTGATATGAAGAATTATAGAATAAGTAAAGAAAAAAAGAATTTATATTGGAAGTATACAGGAATAATACTTTTGTCAGGAAGTAAGGTTAAAGACTCGATGTTTGCTGAAGTGGGCACATATAGATGTTAAGAATAATTGAAGAATTGGAAAATTGAAATCATGTACAGGAATTAGGTATATTAAAAAGTGATATGGAACCACCGCAGAAACGGTTTGAGCAATGTGTCAAAGGGTGAACAATACCGTATTCGGCGAAGAGCCTGGAAGTGATATATAGTGACCACATAATGCAGCAAATGAAACGGGAAGACCTACACAAGCTGCTTCAACACATTTTGAAGTTGAACTTTTTAGGTTTACATGGTAACAAATCAGGTTACAACGTTTTGGAGACGGTGGTAGAAAAATCTCTACAGGAGATCAATGGTAGCAATCGCAACTTTAGAAGTAGGTTACTGAAAAAAACCAAAGCATATATTTATCCTTAATTCTGGCCCTCCTAGATAGGGGTTGAATGTAAGGTTAACAACCCAACCTCTATAAACCCACACTAAAAATAAACCACAACCTAGACTTCGAAGAGTAGATTAAGGATAGGAGAAACTAGACAGTCCACCCAGGACTGTTATGCTTAGAAATAAGTAGAAACAGTAAGGATTTATTGTTGTATCTCAAAACTTTTATATTACTCTATCTTTCCTATACCTATCATTACTATTATATATTTGGTAACATGGAAAGTTTCCTCGTTTTTTTGTCACTAAATAGTATTAGTACCCATATATCTTGGTCGAGAAGTTTTGATACATCTACCGTATAGTCGGGGCCTTGCACCATCTGACTACTATTTGTTTTATTTTTTCTCCGCAAAACTTAATGGTAAAAAATAGGCAGACCAAGAAGCCGCTAAAAATCACTTGACCAAGTTTTTTGCCTATACATTTCAAAAGTTCTCTACCGATGGACTTATAAAGCTACCCGAAAAACGGCAAAAGGACATAAATAATAATTATCGATTTTCAATAAAAAAATTGTTGTTCAAAAATGAACCAAAAAACCCGGATAGATTTTATATCACCCGATGTAATATACTAAAGTTACATAATTATGAGGCTAAGTGAATGAACGTCTTTTACCAAAACGAGAAGCTCAAAAGAATGTGATATGTATTACTAACAGTATTTGCGATCAAATAATGAAAAAGAAAAAATTTGAAAATTAACCCTTTTAAGCCGAATGTTACTAATAAAGAAAGTTGCCGTCATATGCAAAAGTATTTTTTATTGTTTTTGCTTTTTGTCTGATATATAATTATAAACATATAATAAATATAATTATAAACATAGAAATAAATATTTTTGAGCACTCTTATTTTAATTTAAGCATAAAAGGGTTAAAAAAACCGTCGTTATAAATTCGTTTAATTAAATGAATTTTAATAAAAATATTCAATATAAAATCGAAATCTCAGTACCACCACATTTACAAATATTAGATATATACATGTTTATAACAATTTCTATTCAGTAATTATATGAAAATGTTTCTATTTTTGTTTTTATTTTTTATAATAGGTCATTAAGTCTGCTGAACAATTTAAAAATAAAAATTCAACAATGAATAAGCAAAAAACTACAAAAACCAAAACAAGAAACTATTTAAAATATATTTTCATAATGAAATAATAATAATTCCAAGTAAGATAACAAACAGACACAAGTAAAATAAACAATAAAAAGTAAATTAAATGAGAAGCTTAATAATATATGTTTATAATATAGTGAGAAAAAATAGAACTATTCACTGGCAATATGCATTCTATCAAATATAGACACCAAACATTTATGAAATAATTAGAAAAAAGAGAGCAAGAGATACAATATTGTATAAACAAGACAATTTAGTAAACTGAATGAGAATAGTCGAAATAATTTGTAATTAGATGTATATATTATATTAATATATAATTTGGTTAAAATAGTCCCAGACGTAATAATTACTTCCATGAAAAAGACAATACTTAATACACCCATTGTCGAAAATGTTCCAAGCCATACTCTAAATGCAATAAACTACCGACACTAAGTAGTCAGTAAGTATTATTCCAAAAAAAATTGTATAGAATATTATTATTACAATAAGCTTTAATATAAAATCATCTATCTATAACCAATTAAGTTGCAATGCCTCAGCTAAAATAATTGTAGTTAATAAACCATGAATTTCATCAATGCTATATCTTAATAAAGATATCTTAAACATACTTACGACCAACGCCAAAAAAGATAATGATTCCCCCATTAAGTAAGGGAAAGCTAACCTGACAGTTTTATGAATTTGACTAAGTCCCTAATATTACAGGATGTCAGTTCGTTCAGGTCTGTAAGAAAAGAGGATCTGAAGATTTTTGATCTTCTCCTAGCTAAAGACAGGCACTGACACATACCTTCCTCTTTCATACCGTGGTGCTGAGCAAGTTCCGCTTTAGTTGAAGGAGCTGACTAGTGTGATTTTTATCTATATTAAACCAAGTGAACCTAGATATCTGACAATAGGATTCATCAGCCCAGTATTGCTTGAATATGCTCAGGTATTTTTGTTTAATTCCTAGTTTAATTGTAACAAGTGGAACATCTATATTTCAGAAGTAAAGGACAGGGAGAAAGCGCCTGCCTTGACAATCTCATCGCCCAGCAATTGCTCGAATTAAAAATAAACATAAAAATTCATTCATCAATCAACATTTATTTTAATGCCTTCAAAGTTGGTCCCTTCAAATCAAGTATAGATATGATAAAGATTGCCTCAGTTCACAATATATATTTCGTAAGTTGATTAAGACGTGGCTTTCAACAGCTTTAGAGGATTTTTTTTTAAAGGTCGCAATAGACTCGAAACATATTTCTCAAAATGATAATTTTAACTTTGGATATAGAAAAAATCACATGGAACCTTACCAAGTGAGTATGTTGGGGCCATTTACATTCATTAAGTGTTTTGCATTCATTTTAAACAGTTGACTTAAACACACTGGGTTAAAGATGAGTTCTTTCGGATAAGGTATGGACATGTGTGGGTTGGATATAATTGAAACTAATCTGGAGCAAGGCTAAGAAATTTTATTTCTCTAATTGCTGTATAAATTGGGACATAAGAATAAATTTTAGATATCATGGGATAGAAGCGACAGTTAGAGCAGTTTGGAAATTGACGTATTTATGTGGAACAAGTAACTGTCAAACTCATGCCTATATTACATCCTTACCTAAATTAGACCAGGACAATTCTTGATGCTTTAAGAAGGTATCTTTCTTCTTTAGAAATATCAAGCAGAAGCCCGATGAGAACTTTGTTGCATTGTAACCGTTATCTTGAAGAAGATACTGCATCTGTTAGTTTAAATTTGTCAAAACAGTGCAACCAAGTGACAAATTGTGGTATTTTTTTTTTTTTGATGTGTTTTACATTACAAATTTCGGACATCATTTACACATACTGGTTTCAGCTGATGTGCAATTTAAAATGCATTTTTCTAAAACATTACTACTCTGTTATGATACCGAATCATTTGTGACACAATCACTTGTGATGCAATCACTTATAAAATATGACTTATATCTTATTAAATATGACAAATCAATTGTCATGGCAAATTTATTTCACATTTATTTTTTAACAATTTCGTCAAGCCAATATAGCTTCTCATAGTACTATAGATTTTTTTACAGTGTGATAATTATCGTGAAATTATCGCTCAACATACTATTCTAAAAAAGTTTTAAAGTACGCCAGACTAAGAATCCTGTTTATGAACTGTTTATGGAACTTTTTTTCGACTAGGTATATTAAGTTTGTTCTAATAGATAGGTATTATATCTAGCCATTAATATTTAATATATTACCAATACTAATACGGATATATAGTCAATACGATAATTTATTACGATTTTAGCAAAATTATTAGCAAAGAATAATAGATTCATTGTTGTGGCAACAACAACATATTGTACAAATAAGGAGCACCTTAAATCCGTATAGTCAGATCTTGTGAAATATGCGCGATTTGGACCAATATAATATCCAGTAGTTGATATGGGAGCTGTGGAACTGATTTGCGAAATATTGCTTGTTGAATGTGCGCTTCTGAGACCAGTATATGATATCGATTCATCCAGCATGGTTGAATTAAGGGACATATCGATGCGCGCCATTTCCTTTTGCTGTTGTTGCTGATGATGATGATGAAAATGACGATGATATTCATTTGCTTGTGATATGTATGCTTGTGTATACCTAAATTGACGATTTCAATGTAATAGTATAATATTTTATTGTATAATTTTTATTTATCTTTCAGATACGAGTAACATTACAAAATAACTTTTGTTATACACTTTTACAATTAGTTACTACAACTGACATTACCGACATGTTACTGAACTGTGGAAGTGATTTGGTAATTGATAATGCATTAGGATATCATTTTGAAGAGTACTGATTATTGATTTGATAGTTGGGTATAGTGGTTTAATGGAATGTTTGGTGATATTAAGTATTTAAGTATTTCTGTTTAAAGGTTTCATGTTATTACAAGTAATGTTAAGGTATTATTCTTTATTCTTCTAAAAAAAAAAACAATGTCAAATAAAATTAAAATAAAATTAAAAACAAAAAACAACTTAAAAATTAGATATAAATGCAATAGAATATTAAAAAAAAAAGATTTAATAAACAAAATTTGAAACTTCGCTTTAAAAATTATTAACATATTTAAAATCTTGTATATATAACATATATTTTGTTAATGTCAAAAAAATCGGATTAACATTAAAAAAAAATTTATTAACTAGATTTTTAGGTGGTCTAGTCTATTGATTACTATATCAAAAAAACTTAGGAGAAATATTTATTTACGAATTATGTTTTCAAAACAAATAGATATCAAATATATTATAAATTTAATTAACAGAACATACTTTGTTAACTTCTAAAATTTTTAAGTGTGATGAAATACAGTCAAATTTCCATAACTCGAATAAAAATATTGTCACGTGCCAATAGGAATGTGGGAAAGTGCATTTTATAAGTCGAATCTATTTTGATGTTAGGGGAAGTCCATTTTCCAAATCAAATATTTAATTTTTTTTCTTATGTTGCTTTTTTGTGCAAATGACAGTCACTAGCAGCATGATTTAAAGTAAATATAATAACTTCTAATGCTTCTCCTAACGATTATATTGAGCTTGACAATCAAATTTGTACATCAAGCTTTCCTACAGATGACTGTATTATTGAGCACTATAGCTTTCAATTATTGGATTCAACTGTAAGCGCAACGGAAAGTGATGATAAGGGTTCCGTGGATGTAATTGTTAATCAGCCTTCCAATAATGAAGACTCATTCAAAATTCTGAATATTTCTTTGCAACGAATGATACTCCAACTGATGATCACTATAAGGCTTGGAAGAAATTGGAATTTTTTTTTACTGAAAAAAAAAATTAAAAACCCCAAACCCTAATTTCTAAATGTTTCATTTCACTATAACTTCTGTGCTGCATTTGATTTCAAATAAATGTCTTAAAATGTAATATTAGTTTCTTTCAAAAATTAAAAAAAAAAAAATCCTCTAACTCCATAAGTCGAACCTTTCTTTGCAAAATGGTTCTTCGAGTTATGAAAGTTTGACTGTAATTACCGATTAGTAAAACTTCTTTAGTCTTGATTCAAGATATATTAGTGACCATATCTCTAAATTTAGCTTTAAGCTGTGAATTTCTCCATTGTGGAAGAACTAGTAGATCTAATTATGAAAACTAATTATAAATGACATTTTTTTAACGCTGTAAATTTTTCACTATAGTAATATATACCGCTATTTTCCAATATGGATAACTGTAGGAAACTTCTAGAGTTTCAGCGCTTTATGCTACAATATTAGAAAACAAAAAATATCAAACTCAGAATACTCCTTCTAAATTCCTTCTTTTTACAAAAAATAAAATATCAAAACCTATTGTTCCTAAAAATTTTTTTTTATTTATTATTAGTTTTCTATTTTAAGTCAAAATAGGTTTGTAAGTAACCCTAAACATTAAAATTTATTTTAGTGATCCTATATCCATTTTTGTATTTTAAACTATTTTAAAAGAGAAATTATTATCAACAAAAAAAAACTATAAAAACTTAACCAAAATATAACAAATAAATGTAATGCTAAAAACATATTTTAATTAAATTAAAACAAAATAAAATTATTAATATATTATTAAGATATTAGTGGAATCTTTAACACTACTCACTGAACAAAAATTATTGTTAAATAATTGCATTTAATTTTATTTAATGCGATAAAAAATTTATTTGTAAATTTTTACTTTTGAAATAGACTTACCGATTTTTCTCGTTGTGAGCTGAACTACGTCCCGAATGTACAGACTCGCGTCCATCAGTTCCTCCAACAGTTGCCGTACTATTAAGGGAATCACCATTGCTATTCGGAATAGCAGTTGCAGTTGTGGCTGCAGCTTGGGCATAATATTTTTTATACCATTCAGCATAAGCTTGAGGATTATTGCGTGCCATTTGTTCATAATAATAGGCATAACTATCATAACCATATGCAGAAGTCGGATGATATCCATACATTCCCCCATGTCGTGAATCATAGCGTGCATCGACATCTCGAGTACGATCTTTTTCTAAATCACTGCCACGTGCATTACGTGAACTTTGCTTACGATATTCTTCATAATCACGTGGATCTACGCCCCGCTGATGATGCTTTTCTCGTCTCCTCCGTTCCACTGTGTCATAATCATAATCTCGATCTCTTTCTCTGTCTCTGTCTCTATCACGGCGTTGTCTTCGATCTCTGTTTTCATCAGTGTAACCGCGACGGTCTCGTTCCATATCAGTTTTTTCTCCACGTTTTGAACCACGTTGCCGTCGATTATAATCGTCATAGTCACGATCACTACGATCACTTCGGCCGCTACGTTCCTCAACTGGACCACGATTTTCTCTCATACTTCTACGTGTAGCATCTTTACGATAATTACCATCATGGCGCATTGATTCTTCAGCATCATACTTTGTATCACTTTCATTTCTATTATAACGTTGCTTACGTCTATCGGACTTACCATCATCGCGATAATATTTATCTCGCGTTCTTTCGTGGTCACTACTGCCACCACCATCACGTTTACTGCGGCGATTTCGTTCTTTTTCAGAACGTTCATTACGGCCACGATCACTACGGACACTACCTTCACGATAACCACGACGACGATCATTACGTTCGCGATCACTTGAATATTCTTCAGACTCATCGCTTTCATAGCTTTTCTTTTCTTTGTACTGTTTCTCATTTCGTCGTTCAATTTCATTACGTTTACGATTTTTAGTTGCATATCTATTGTGATGAAGTTCTTGCATAAGATCACTATCGTCATTTCCTGTAGATACATTAGAATGTTCCTTAGATTTCACTGTATGATGTGCATCAGCGGGTTCAGTGGGTGCTAAAACTGTCAACTCAACATTAGACGCAGCACCTACGAGTGGTGGTTCATCTCTGTTGTTACTCAATAAGGGTTGTTGGTCATCTAAGTTTTCGCCATCTAATTCAATTTCACGTTGTTCACTTATTACTTGTGTTGGATTGGATATAACAATGGTTTCTGTAGTCTCCACACCAGTTACAACTCGTTGATCGTCATGAGCGTTACTTTCACCAGGAACTAAATACAAATTGCGATCGGTTGTTATTCCAATATTTGTGGCAGTATTAACAGGTACTAAATAAAAACAAACTTATAGTAATTCCATAAAAATATATATTAAAATGACTTACATCCTGAATTTCCCGTATTGCGAGGTATAGAATTAAGCATTGTTGGTGGCATAACCAGCTCGACAGAAGTGTCTTGTCCATCTGCATGTCGTTCTTCTATATTTAAATTCGTAATGTTATCTACTGGTTCCTCAGTACCAGTTACCATACGCTGAGGTGTTTCTAACTCAGGTTCTCCTAAAACTAAACGAGATAGTCCAGGTGGTGGCAAGTTATTGTCGCCTTCTACATTCACCTCTTCATCAGGATTTTCAGACAATGGACTTGTTTGCATGTACTGATTTCTTTCATTATTTGATAATGGTAACTGATGTAGTGGAACTGAAACTGGAACTGAAACTGGAACTGGAACTGGAACTGCTGTACTTTGAAAATTAACAGATTGTATATTAGTATGAGATGGCAATACTGGCATAATAACTTCTTGATTTTCATGCAAATCCTCAGAATTGTCAATACCATAATTTTCACCACTTATAGTAGCCATAGCTGGATTTGCAAAATCAGCTGGAGGTGGAGGTATATTAAAGCTACTTTGCGGCATGGTAGAAATAGTTTCTGTAGTTGGCATAAAACCAGCACGATGATGCTGAGCAATGCCAGTGCGTTTAAAAGGATTTGAAGTGGAAGAGCTTACTGCTACAGATGGTGGAGAGATAGCTGTTGGTAATGTAGAAACCAGTGGTGGTGGTGGTGGTTGCGATTGTGGTTGTGGTTGTGGTTGTGGTTGAACTAAACTCGTTGAATCCAAAGACTGTGGGAGAGATGGAGAATTTTCCATTTGAAAACTATCGTTCTGGAAACCATGTGGAGGTAACAATGCACTATCTGGTGCTTCAACTGGTGTATTACCATCGGGTGGTGATGCAAATTGCCGCGGTGGTCTTGAAACAGGTTTCGCTTGTGAAACATAAACTGAATTTGGAATGTTACCACCTGCGGTAGGTGCAGTATTTTGTGTTTGAACATTAGACGTTATGTTTATGTTATCAGTCCTTGTTTCCACTAGTGGCAAAGTTGTTGGTTTGGCTAAAATTAAGAAAGGGTATTGATTTATTTAATTTTTTTAATAAAGTTATTTAGTAAACCTGAGAAATCATTTTGTGCTGATTGTGTTTGATGATTTAACTGAATAGTATTTATTTCAGAAGGAATAGAATATTCTCCAGTATTTTGTTGTTTAGGCACATGAAAGGTATTCATATCTTGTTTTACTTCACTTGCAATTGGCACTTGTTGTGGTGTAGGTGCTATTTTTAAATGTTCAGTTTGAGTGGCAGTAACTGGTTGTTCTGATGTACTTAAGTTACTATCATCTGTGGTGCCCCAATTCCAATTATCGTTTGATTGTGTACTGAAGCTATCTTCAATTACGTTGATATTTCTGCTTGGTACACTTTGCAGTGGATTCTCTGACTGCTGATTCAGTACAGGCAAAATGTTTTGCTGTGTAGATGGTTGTTTGTCGTTGAGGTTACTATTGCTATTGTCGTTCCAATCCCAATCACCCCATCCATCGTTTCTATTAGTATTACTATTATTGTCGAATAATTGTTGATTCGTAGTTGAAGTTTGTTGTTGTTGTGGTTGTGGTTGTGGTTGTGGTAGTTGTTCCGCGTGCAGCTGTGTTGTTTGTTGAATATTCTGAGTTGGTAAAGACTGTTGAATGTAATTGGATGCAGTCTGTTGCTGATAGCTTTGTTGTTGATCAAAATAATTGGTAGAAGGATTATATGTTGGAGTTGAATTAACCTGTTGTTGTTGCTGTTGCTGATGCTGAAATTGATTGTGATGTTGTTGTTGATAGTTTTGTTGCTGCTGTGGTTGATATACTGGCTGTTGCGGGGACGTTGCATGCATTTGTGTTTGCCAGTTGTTCGCTGTATTAGTATATTGTGAATATAAATTTGAATTAGCAATCTGTTGTTGTTGTTGCTGTTGTGGTTGTTGTTGTTGTTGCCAATTCTGTGCAGCAGTTGGTTGCATGTTTCTATTTTGCGCTAAGTAGTTTTGCTGCTGTTGCCAAGGTTGCCCTTGCTGTAGGTACGATTAATATTTAAATAAACTAATTAAACTCAAATACACCATTTTTTTCTACATACACATGCTTTTACATACACATGCAAATAAAAACATCCTATTAAAAGTGATGTCAATCATTTAATAGATATATGTTAACCTTACTACTTATGAAATCATATGTAAGCAAATAAATATCTACATGCGAATCTTATATATCTTATTATACCGTGAATATTACCTGAGGAGTGGACAAATGATTTGGTTCATATTCTTGACTTAATGCATTCAATTGTGGAACACCAGTAGCATATGTTTGAGCTCGATTATTGTTTGCAGCAGGGGCAGTGGATGATTTTAAAGCATATGAAGTGTTCGTAACGGACATATTAGCAGTCGAAGAATTGGGATGAAATTTTTGTTGAGATGCATTTGTATGTTGTTGCCACGACATTTCTTACAAATAAGAGCCTAATAAAAACAATAAATTTATTTGGCATGCAATTAACGTACGTAAACAATGATGATAACATATAACATATGTGAAATTTGTGAAAACAAAAAATTAATATTTCCACACAAAGTAAGCAAAATTAAATACTGTTATATCGATTTTTAGCAAACCACTTTAAAACAAGACCCAATTTACAGTTGAATGACCTTTAATAAGTTTTTGTTAATGAAGAAAATTATTCAAATTAAACTCTAAATAATTATTAGTATACGTAGCACAGATCATTAATGAAATGGTGAATGAATAAAGATATAACAGCAATATAATAATTTAAATAAAAAGAACTGAGAAGTGGCGATTTTAATGACGTTAAGCAACCCGTATGTTCACAGTATGGAAAGAGAAAGGGAACGACAAAAAGTTTACGTGGATATTTTTTCAGGTCTTTTTACTGCAATCAATTTTACCTTTTTCACTAAAACTTCAACGTTTTATAATTGGTGCAATTAATAGCTGTCACACAAAAAAGTACATGTTTCAAATTATTAAAAAATATGTTTTTTAAGCTTTTAGGATGCTTTTATATTATTTTTATAACAAAAATATTGCACTGTAACAATTTCTTTCTTAGAAAGTGGCGAAAAGGCGAAGTATAAAGAAAACATCAAAACTTTGACAGCTCGTGCCTTTTGAAGAGAGAGGAACAGGTTAAATATGCAACAGTGTTGTATAGGAGTACAAAAAATCTTAAATTTATATTACAATATGTTGAAATTGAACCATTTTCGCAAGGAAAAGCCATTTGTTGTAATAACTGACATTTATTGTAATACCGATTTTGATAAACGCAATGAAAATGTTGTTGCAATGAAACATAACACTACATACATATCAGTTAAAACAAGGTTGTGTTTGTATATTGCGCTAAAATGAATGCAATGAGAAACCAAATTCATTTCTTACTACGTTAAGGCAAGAAAAATGATCAAGATTTTATACGGTTACATAGAACAAAACGACTTTCAAGTTTCAAAAAAGTAAAAACAACCATCAAACTGCTTTTAGTCTGAATATTGCCGATAATAATTAATATTATTCAATACCCGTAATTTTTACTTTCAGAGTAGCAAAAAAATACTCACAACGTACGAAAGAAAATATGTGAAGCAACAATAATGCTCTTCAGAGTTAGGTTTTACTCGCAAAAAATTTTACGTCTTAATTTTACATCTTTTTGCAGCTAAATTCAAAAATTAGTCTATAGTGAATATTCAATGGAAATATGCTACAAAATTCCAGTCATCTGTTAAAATCATGTGAACATTTCATTTACTAATAAATTTAAATTTATAAATAAATAATTTAATTTAAATATATAATATAAAAATGCTAACAATTGCGCTTCTTATATTCATATTGTTTTCTTTTATTTAAATTAATTAATTTGTGGTGTAACAATTTTTATACTTCATATTGTACACACCACACAAAAAATGTTCTGTAGAAAAAGTGATGCCAATTTTTTTCAGACTTAATGTTATTTTTTTGTTACTCTGAAAGAAACCATTTCGGCTAATATTTGTCAGAGTACATACTAAGCAAAACAGCATAAAATACAAACACAACTTCAAACCGATAACCAAATGGGTTACACAAAGCAATGCAATAGAATTTATTCCGTTAGTCAATTAATTCGTTCGTTTTCAGTTACATTTACTTGCGCACGAATATTCGATTGCTTTATTTTTCAAAAAGTAAAACGGCTTTAATGAACATGTTTGTTTTATGTTTTTATAGATAAAAAAAAGTAGAAAGAACACTGTAACCAAAGCAATTCACAATAACATTTAAAGTTATTATTTGCTTTGTTCGGTCAAATATTTTCTATCCGTACAAAACACGAGCGTTAGCCTCTAATATATGCACCCTTAGGCAGACCTGCTTCAGACATAAGCTTATACGGCATTTACACTAGCCGAAAATGACACATGTATGAATGAGTTCCAAAAAAGTTTACAAAAAAAGGTAAACAAATGTTTGGTGGTTGCATTTTCTTGAAAACGATGTACCTCTTTTTAGAACTTCAGATTCCCAAAAAGTAATTAATCGAAGTTAATAATATGTTTTATATTAATATTGTATGGTTTGAAGGCATATTTAACCTTCATGCAACATTTTTTTGACACAGGCGAAATATCAAATCAACAGGCAAGTTGAAAAATCAGCGTTTTGAAATGAGAACAAACGGATTATAACGAATGCAAACACTTTCAAATGGCTCGTTCAAAATGAGCTATTTTCGACCAATGTAAACGCCATATTATTCTCACACGAAAAAATGAATTAAAAAACAGAAAAATAATTATTGCTGCTGCGAAGATTTAAAACTAAAATTTATTTAAATTAAATTTGTATTATATTAATATATATATATTAGAAGTGACATAGTGTTAAGTTGGAAATTATTTCTCATAAGATTCATTTTTTAATGTAATATATATTCAAAATAAAAATTTGATCATATAATGAAATTAAGAATGTCAAAAATTTTAAATATTTATGTAGTACACAAAAAAATTATAATAAAATGACATAAAGTGTTTAAAGTAATAAACATATGCGAATTGCAAGCTTAAAATTTATTTCAGTTTCGATACACCCTATTGACGTACTCTATTATTTTGGACATATGATGTTTCTACGTGGCTGACGTGTTAACATGTCCCAAATAGTTTCAACATAATTTCCCAAATTGCAACGAATGTTTTGCTTGTGTTTATTCCGTAGAATTGTTGAAAATAAAACTATTAACAAAATTAAAAGTAAATAGTGTGATATGAATGTGCGTATATAGCAATAAAAATTAATTGATATATCACCAAAAAAAACAACACAGAAAAAATGGCGTTATTGACGATGATAGCAAGAGTAATTGATGGTCTTCCACTGGTTGGAACCATGCAGGAGGATGAACAGGTTTGTTTGCAAGATGTTTTAACAAATAAAATAATAATTTAAAGTTATTTTTTACAGTCCGGTCGTAGCATATTAGAATATCAGAACCAAGCAAAAATGTTATTTAGAAAATTAGGTTCACATTCCCCGACACGTTCCAGCATTGAAACAGGCCCATATCTCTTTCAGTAAGTTCAAAGTATTATTTCTAACTTTGAACTTTAGACTTTCTACAGTGTACAAATTATTAAAATACTTAAATTTTAGCTATTTAATTGAAAACGAAGTCTGCTACTTGGTTATGTGCGATAAAATGTATTCGAAACGTTTGGCGTTTACGTATTTAGAGGATTTAGCGCAAGAGTTCCACACAAACTATGGCAGACGCGTTAACTCAGTGACACGACCCTATGCATTTATTGAATTCGACGTTTATATACAAAAAGCCAAAAAACAATTAACCGATCGGCGGAGAAACATAAGCAACATAAATACTCAGCTGCAGGATGTGCAAAGAATAATGGTAGGCAATTTGTATAGAAACTAACTTGCGGCATTGATCTTTAAATAAAATATCATTTTTAGGTACAAAACATAGATGATGTTTTACAGAGAGGCACAGTCCTATCAGGTAAATTTTAACTATGCATTAATGTTATGTATAAAGCTATAATTATTATTTTTTTTTTGTTGTGCACTTACAGAACTGGATACAAAAACGCAAAATCTCTCTATGATGTCACAGAAATACAAAAAAGATGCTACTTATTTAAATCGAAAGTCAATGTATGTTAAAGCTGCAGCGGCCGGTATTGTGTTATTTGTTTTTATTTTATATTTCTGGGTTTTGTAATAAATTGAATTATTACTATATTAATTACAATGCAGTTATAACATTTTTTATAATGAAAGTTAATCCAATACGCCAACTTGTTTCTATATGTTATATTATTTATTATTCGAGTGTATATCATACTGGAAAAGTTATATCGTGTAATTTTTTAAAAATATAAATGGTATTTAGTAATAATAAAACCAAGTTTCATTGTTATAAATTTTCATTTAATGTTTTTATTTATTTATTGCTAACATTTAAGGAAAATTAAAATTTTCTTTCACGTTGTCATCTTCACTTTCTGAAGATGAAGATGTTGAGAGCATATCTAGAAGTTTTTCATCAGCAAACATGAGATTACTTGGTTCTTTCTCAAAAACCTCAGTCACTTCTTTCCTTCTCATCTGCGCTTGTTTTTGCTGCTTAGCATTTTTCAATGAATCCTCACTTTCACTACCACTGGAAGATATTTCTTTTTTAGTCTGCTCTGCTATTTTTTTGCTAAACTCTTCTAACGAACTTTGGTAAGCTTTTGTTTCTTCCTCAATGTCTTCGTCTAAAATATGAAATGAAATAGAATTTTAAGTATGGATAATGTTATTAAAATAGGTCCCAGTCATGCTAATGTTCTAATACACCTTAATTATTTATAATATAAATATTTTAATATATACTGCATTTAATATTTTATTCTGTTTTATATTATCTATTTTATTTATGTTTTTAAAATTTATAAAGAGTGCAATATTAATTATGAATGAATATTGTTTTTTTATAATTTTTTTTTTTCAAATTAAATTTTAAATATTCAATTAGCATATTATATGCACTTCTTATTATTTGTATAGTTGTGTATAGTTGTTAATATTCTATTATATATGCGTATATTAAATGCTTACCACTATCAATGACGTCAAACATGTCTGAGTTTTGTTCATAACTTATATATATGGTTGGGTATTCAACAATAGTTTTATTTGCAAGATTATCATTTAAAGATTTGGCGACATCTAATTTATAGAAACGGCTCCGACTTTGTTTAATGCCTTCGGCTTTAAGTAGAATCTAAGATAGTTACAATAGAAAGAATATAACATCATTTTTTCATTATAAATGTTACAATTAAAAGTGTTTTATAATTAAATATAGTTATATCTATCTTAATACTCATATAACTACAAATAGACATAAAATGCTTATTTATATTAATATAAATAATATCAATGCCGAAAAATTGGATTTATTTTTTTAAATAAATTTTTAAACAAATCATATCAATAATATTGTTGAAATATTTTTTATACAAATATATTTATAATATTTCTCACTTTTTCATACATAATTTTTAGATCCGCTTTTATGGATCGCAAACAATTGTTCAATTTAATTCAGTTTATCTATGTAAATAAGTTTGAACATTATTTGCTAATTTATATAATTAATGAAAATAATCTCACTACAAAATAGGATAAATTTTGGGTAGGTATTTTTGTATTTAAATTATATACAATTTAAAAAATAAAGTGCTAGTTGACTGCACTAAAAGCGTGGCATTAAAAATACAATAATATGAAAGAGTAAACTAACAACTAAAAGCACGGAATTAAAATTAAAAAGTTTCTGTAAAAAATATATATATTGGAAAATATTCCAAGTGGAGTATTCTTGAGATGTATTGAACTGTTGCTTGCAATCTTGTTTGGAGATACAGTATTTTATTAAGAGAATTAGTTGGTAACATTCCCGTCTACTCTGAAGTGATATACAAATAGTTCGTTATTGGACACTTGAAATATTATTGCACTGACTGTACAAGTTAAAAGCATAAGCAATATTTTGTTAATTTTTTTAAATATTTAACTTTTAAACACTAATAATAACTTCCGACGTTTTTATTGTGGAAGGTAAAATTCTTTTTTTTATTTTAAATATCATAAAATATTATATAGGAAAGTGCTATTATAATATTATATAATTATACACTAACTTCATTTTTGCTATAATTTAGACTAGTTTGCATATACCTATATACACAAATAAATATATATTGGAGAATTGATTCCTACTATCATCATGAATAAGATTATAAACGGCTTTACATTCTCGGACATATTTTCTGACACTATAAAAGTAGACAAACTTTAATATAAATTATTAAAAGTTTAAGAATATATACGGTTTTAATAAAACTTATGTGGTTTACGAAATTGACGAAATTTTTATAAACGTTTAAAAAATATAAGTAATAAAAAAAATTATAGTTATTAAAACAATAAATTTAAATAAACATTTGATAAATAATTTCAGTTAATCAAATATAATTCATAAACAAATATATATAATAAGAAATAAAGAAATAAAAAATAAATATAAACAAAAATAAATATAATATAAAATAAAGATAATAAAAAATAATTATAATAAAAACTAAATATAATAAAAACAAATAAAAAAAATATATATTTAACAAACGTTTATAAAACAAAATATAGTTGTTGACATGTTCACACTTAAAAGAATATCTTATATTAAGAAACTTGTTAAAATAATTTTAATACTTAAAAGTTTTACTGATTCTAAAAAATAATGCCTTTTTATTGCAACAAAACTTATATTAACATCTATTTGGCACGATATCTTCATATAAAAATATTTTCTACAGTGTACACATTTTATGGAACATTTTTTTATTACTAAATTTAGCTGAACTCAAAGTTAAGTATTTAATTATATTATATATGTTATTTCAAAATTGAAAAGAGAAGATAATAAAATGCCTGATTTAGTACTATTAGTTCTAAAATATGTATTATAATACTATTTTGAAAAAGTATTAAATAAATAGTTCTAAAATATATAAAACTTTATTGAAAAAGTATTAAATAAAATTAGTATTATTATTAAATTAAAAAAATTATATATATATATTCAAAAATTTACGTTATAGTAAAAATTGTACTCTATATTAATGACTAAATTTTTTATTATATATATTTATTTATTTGAAGTAAAAATATATAATCTATATAAGTTTTATAATATTTATTTCAATATTATGCATAAAAAAATTTACTTTATATATTGTCTAGAAGCCTAAATAAATAGTAATAAATAAATTAGGAAATATGTTATGGAAATTGTTTAACTAACTTACTTTCAAATTGAAGATACCGGCACTTTGATAATATATTAACTCCTTTTTTCTGGGAACGTCTGTTATACAATCAGGATTCACATATTTGTCAAGTAATTTATGCAAAGGCAAATCTTCAGGACATCGTCTATCAACGAATTTTAAATTACTGGCATTTACAAAAACCCATTCAACATGCCAGTTTATTTTTTGCGTCTGAAAATTAAGAATTGTGGAGTTTTCTTTGTGTTTGGTGAAATTCTTCAACAGGAACTGCAACCTTATATTCCGCTTATTAGCAGCACATTGCAGTTTATACAAAAAACTTGGTAATTTATTGAAACGTGTTATACTTTTAATCGGATCATGTTTCCGATCCTCGACATAGCGTGTGCACTCTTCCAAGAAGTAATAATCGCTCATAAAATCCATTTTAGTCATATTACAGAGTGGGATGAATTTAGTACGATCCCTAATACCATCACAGGATAATTCTTTCTTATGTATGTTTACACAGCGCACGCAACACGTCTTAACCTCGCATTTTGGGCAAGAGTAAATGGCATCGTTGGCAGCACAGACTTCACATTTCCCGAAGCGATTTCTTTTTGATTTGCTATGAAGAAAAATGACTGATAAGGTTATTCAATTTAATAAAAAGTAAAATAATTGTATAAGTAATGAATGATATACATAATATATGCAAAATATATATTGCTTTTTTATACTGTTTTTATTTTTATAAAAAAAAAAATTACATTTTATTTTCTGCTGTTGTTTCATCTTCGGAGTCACTGGAGACATAATTTTCTATCAAACCACGTTTCATATTAAATTTATTTGCTTGTTTTCAAAACAAAACACAGTTGTTTACTGTTGTTGGTGTAATTGTAGATTGTTGTTGGTGATTTTGTTGACGTTGAGCATGTGTTGCAAATATTACATCAGTGATTTTGTGTCGGTTGCGGCAGTTCACATTAAATATTGTTTTATTATATTCTTTTATTTGATTTCGGATATTCAGTGTGATTTCGTTGTAATATTTAAATTATATAAAATATAAGTAATACAAATAAACTCAAATCAACGAAATAAATTAAACAACCTTAACATAACTAAATTTTTATCCAAAATTCTTTTGGTTTCTTAATATTTTAATTATCACAATAGCGAAAAGCTATAAATAATGGTTTAACAAATTTTATATAATAGAAAACGTATTATTGTAAAATAATTGTCTGTGTAAATTCAAGATTTATCTTGGATATAAACAATAACACACCAATTTGTAAAAATAATATAAACGTCAAAAACAACACATGTGCTTAAAAATTTGTTCTCTTTGCGTTTGGATAAAAATCTGCTCTCTCTAGCATAGAAAACTGTAGCACAGTGGAGCAAATAAATGTTATTAGTGCATTAAATTAAATTTTAAAAATTGAAATATCTAAACACAATCTAAAATACTGTGATATTCATTATAACAATAAAGAGAAATTGATAGGTAGAATAATAAAGCCCTATTTAGATAATATGAGTCTATATATATACCAATGGTGTAAAATACCAATATGGTATATAAAATACCAATATATTAATCAAATAACAATGGTGTTTTTACAAAACTATATTAGGCGTTTTCTTTTGTAAATATATCACAAAAGAACAAAAGCTTATTATTAAAATAACATATGAAACAACAACACTGCTAGCTTGTTTAGTCCAACCTTTTTGAAATCGCTTAACTAATAAGCAGCTTAAATCGCATGGTTGTCAAGATTAAAAACTCGTCTATTGTGAACGATTTTTGGAAGTACATACAAAATTTCTAGTTAACTGTCAACGAATGATTTCGTTAACTATTCGCGTTTCGTGTCACTTCATTTTTTCTATTTATTATTTTATTGTTAAAAGGCATGAAAATATATATTTTATTCACAATCATGTAAAAAAAATATGCTTACTAATAATTCTAAAGAATTATTATTCATTTTCGACATTTTAACATTAAATTTTATTACTTTTATTTTGCATTTACATATAAGCCTAACAAAATTTCCATTTTATCCAGAGTTGCGATCGAAAGCAGTGCTTATTTTATTTTAATTTCGAAAATTGTATATATAACCAGCGCCAGATTTATTTAATTAAATTTTGATCTTATTTCCAATGAACAAATTTTCTTGTAGTTTAAGACTACAATATAAGTATTCGAGATCTTTAGTTAAATACCATAGTATTAAACACACTGCAAAACTGGAATACAAAACATAATTCGAGAATATTTTATGGTTGCTAAGTTGTACTGCTAACCGATATTTTTTCTTTCAGCGTTGTAAAAAAACAGCATTAAGTCTGGTTGAAAAAATTGGCATCACTTTTAAAATATTTTAAATGCTTATTTTTGACATATGTTTTTTGTTGTGTCGTGTACAATATGATATAAAAATTGTAAACACTAAAAATTAATTAATTTAAATAAAAGAAAACAAAATGAATATTAGAATGGCAATGGTTAGCATTTTTATATTATATATTTAAATTAATTTATTCATTTATGTATTTGAATTTATAAGTAAATGAAATGTTCATATTTCAACAGATATGACAGATGACTGGAATTTTGCAGCATATTTCCATTAAATATTCACTATAGACTATTTTTTGAATTTGGCTACATTTAAACTTAAGACGTAAAATTTTTTTCGAGTAAAACCTAACTCTGAAGATTTTAAGAGCATTATTGTTGCTTCACATATTTTCTTTCGTACGTAGCGATTATTTTTTTGCTACTCTGAAAGAAAAAATTACGGCTTATATTACTCAGTTATTACTTGGAGTTCTTTACTTGAGATTGTGAATCGATTAATGTATATAAACAAAACATTAATAAATTCATACGTGCTAGCTAATTTAAAAGAACAACTGAGCTAAGCCGATCAGTTATTTTAATGCAGTTATTTTAGAATCAGTGAAATATTCACATTTTCAATATAAATTTTAATATAGAGTTATCAAATGGAGTGAAAAAGAAATTGATTTTTTTTTATTTCACGTTGAGTCTTTTTCGAGTTAGTGCATTTGGACACTTTTACTCTTTGACAGCTGGGGGGTTTCTGCAGAGTTTCACCTTCCTCACTGATTAATTTATGTATTCCTCACAAGCTTTGCTGATTATTTGATGGCTGATCTAAGATCTGCATTCCGCCCCGTACGGTTAGTGACTGCTCTGAGATTAGATGCTCTGTAGGGCACCTGTCAGTTTTCATGTATAGTTTCAGGGTTCTGTCCCTTATGTATTTTTTGACCGGGTCTATTCTGAGATCTCTTTGCAGGTTATTCGTGCGGATGTACCATGGCACTTTGAAAAGTCTTCGGAGAGCTTGACTTGTAGCTTCTGGATAGTAGAGTTGGCTGCTTTGCTATACGCGACACACCCATAGAGTAGTGCTGGTCTGATTATCTAGATCAGCTTTCTGTTCTTCACAAAATTAGATTTTTTTATTTTAAATAATGATTTCTTACATTTTCATTAAAAATATTTTTATGTGAATGATCGCTTCTGTATGTTTTAAAAATTTGATTCTGGAGCATAATTTCTTGCTCAGTTTTTTCTAAATAGAACTGTACTTATTTCACCAACAACAAGAATATGTTAATGATTCAAAAGTAATTATCATTTATTAGGATAAACTAATGATTTAACATAACCATCAACGAAAAATGCACATGAAATTGACGATTAGTTGAGATAGCTGTTTACACGGTCACCTTTCTACATCTTTCTTTTAAGAAATTGATTGTCACGAGATGTAGACACGTTTCATCATTTGCGTTCTATAATCGTCGATAGATTATTTTAATCTCATTTTTAAAAAACTTATCTCCAATTACACTTCCAGACCATAAACAAAATATTTAATAAGTATTTATAATAGAAATAATTAGAAGAGTGATATTTATATAGCAATTCATTTGTAAGTGAGAAATAATTCTTAGATATGATATTTTGAAGTCGAATATGTAATGAAGAGCACACTTGCATATTAAATATATCAGTAGATGTCTATTTTTGAATTATTCTAAAAAACATGAAATTGATCTTGTTTTTTTAATACTTCGTTACTACACTTTTCATTCCACACACAGATATAATTTAGATAAAATTTGTTTACAAAAAATCTTAAATCAAGGAATGAATGGAATGAACGATTTTTATAAAATGTGTCTATGATATGACGCAGTTTAGATAAAGAAACTTTATTTCGTTAATATTCTTAATCTAATGCAATAAGAGATTGTAAAAACAATATCATTTTGTTTTGATTATTTATATATTTTTCTTAATTCTTAAAAATTATAGATAAATCTACACTCTCGTCTTCAATTTTTTGTAAGTCTTAAAAGCTGTTTCAGATTGTTTGGCTCCTGAAATTGATTTTAGGTACGCCTAATTCTCAAAAAAATTGTATTGAAAATTAGTTTTCACTTACAAAAAGTAGTTTGACGACAATTACAGTAAGAAACAATGGTTTTATATATTATGTAAACATCTTAAAAATAGTTTTGAATTTTGAGTACCAACTATCACTTGACAACAATTATAAAAGGAGGTTTAAATCTAGTGTGTAAACACTATTATATTGAATTTTAAAGTCTGTTTTAAAAATATTATGATTTGTTTTCGGGAAGAAAAAAAATGCTTTAAACAAACTTTTAAGAATATTTACGTGAGTCTAAGATAGATTTTAAGGATTTTAAAACAATTTATGGGGAACTAAGGAAATTAGATTTGTAATAAAGGTGACTATTTATTTTCATTCTTTATGTTTTATGGAACGGGGATATGGATGTGCCTACTGCTGCTCCATTTCAGGCTGTTTCATAGAAACGGTATATATTGTTCTATGAGAGTCTCATCCTATTCCAACGCAAGTAAGCCTTTAGTGCCCTGTAAACGTGCATTCACACCAAAGCGAACGCTTGCGAACGAAAGAACTTTTGCAGGTACGATTTATTCGGTTTGGTGTGGATGCACCTTTAGATACCTAGAGGGCATTTTAATATTCATATTTTATTTTCAATACTTAAATAAGTTAGGTTGGTTAATTAATCTTTTGGGATGTCTTTGACTTTTATTTTAAAATTATTCCAATTACCGTTGTTTTATTCAGTGTTTAAATGCAAAGAATCACTTATTTGTTTTAAATCCTAGAATAACTTAACCAATCTCAGAATTTTCTATTCATTTACCTTGTTTTTTTAAAAGTTATCGCTTAGAAACTGTTTTTCGATTATTAAATTATCCAACGATCTGTCCAATCGTAGTATAAATATTTTACCAATTCCAATCATTTGGTAAACAAATAGAGCAAAAGAATATGTCCAAGCAATGAGTGCTAGAGCGCGCTAGAGACGACAGATAGGCCTAGAAGCTACTTCAATATAGTATAAATTATTCAACTCTGCGGATATGCCTTCCACTGATATCGATGTCGTTCTATTAGTTTAAAATTAACTTTTAAAATATATATAGGAAATGTTTTCGAACTTTTTGTTTATATTATTAATTATATCAATACTAAAATTTTGCTCTAAGCCTCAGTTCGTTGTCTCAACGTCTCAAATAAATAAAACAAATAAAATTATTTCGTTAGAAAGTACAAACGGTTTCGCGCAATAATTCGCAATCTAATCAGTGAAACACTCATTCCCAAATTAAAATTATTTAAATTATCTAAGGTTATTATATATACTTAACAATAGTTCGCAAATTTATTAAGTACACTTGGTCACACAATTCGTTCTTATCAATTCGATGCTCATCAATTAACTTCAATATTTAAGAGTAAATTTTTATCAATGAAACACCGAAGCATAAACGCTTTTAAGAGAACTGCGTCGTGAAAACAATACGCAAAGCATATGCTAGAACTGAACAACTGTTGCTCAACAATTGATTTATTCCCGTTCCGCTCTGCATGGGTGAATAATTGCAAACAAAACAGACCAATTTTAGCGCGTTGAAAAAGAAAAATTCTATAAAAATGTTGTTGGTTTGCGTTCTGCGCTCAGTTAGTAGGCAAAGAGCCAGTTGCATTGGTGTTTTGTCGCAAGCGATGCTCGGTAGTTCTAACTTCGAAGAACGTGTTTTCGTTCCAATCGGTAGAAAATTTTGTTCAGCTGAGATAAATGAAAAACAAACGAGACAGATAAATTATGATTCGCAAAATGTGGAAGCTGAATACGCGGTGAGTTTTTAAACAAACAAATTTTGTTAACTGATTTTATTATTAATAATAATAATTGATCTACAATTAGGAAGCTATTAAGGCACTCAATACTCTACAATCGAACGCAGAGGCAATACGCACTTCAATTACCGCATACAACACACAAAAACCATTGGATGATATGTACATATATTTAAACAGAAGTGGTTTACATATCGAGGAAGTAGACAAATTATCTGTCATACATGTATCCGGCACCAAAGGAAAGGTAAACAAAGTTATGAAATAGTTCATGGGGTTTTTTAACTAAAAAATACGTTCATATGTATGTAAGAAGAAAGATTAACTTGTGTGTAATTTTATTTAGTTTTAATATAAAACAATTAATTAGTATTTTATTAACCCTTTTATTTAATTATTATGTACACAGAAGTTTTCTTATTACTCTTATTTATTCGAATCAAATCGTAGACAGCATGTAGATTCACGTGCGCTTTTATTTCTCTCTTTAAAATAATTTTATTCAACAAGCTCTGCGCAAAGTGTGGTGTATATCTCTTCACCAAATTGATTTATCTTAAAAACACAGATAATTTAGTTTTCAAACTTCTACTTTTTTATATCAAAAATAATTAAATAATTTGTGTTATATTGTATTATGTCGTTGCAAAATAAAGTAAATTTTAGTAATATTTTAGAATTTTTTTGTTAATAAAAAACATTATGTGTTATGTAGGCTAATATGGTCTTTAGGTTGAGATAAAAATAAAGTCGAACTTTTTTCTATCTTTTTATTTAATGTTTATTTATAAACTCAACTTAACGTTGGCGTTGATTAACATTAACTAAAGTTTCGTTGGTTCATGGCTTCAGTGGAAAACAAATTTTTTTTTCATCTTAATTAATAAATAACATAATAACAATAAGAATGTTTAAGAAAACGAAATAAACAATCGAAAAAACATTATTATTATTTATTTCGAATAAACATAATTATTCGAAATAAAATTTAACTAAATAACATAACGAACTAAGGGAAAATAGAAAATAGTTAATAAATTTAACTAAATTTATAGTTTTATTAAAATTTAAAATTTACAGACAACAATATTTTTTTATTGGTATTAATAATAATTTTGATTTTTAACGGACTAATTGCTCAACTTAAATAATACACTTTTTAGAAAATTTTTTAAATTTAAAAAATAAAATTATTATTAAAAATTATTTGAGCATTAAAACAATAATATTATTGATATTAAAAATTTTTATTAAACTATATGTATTTTATAAAACATTACAATTTAAAAACAAACATTTTTGTTTTTATTAATTAAAATCATTTCTAAAGCATTTTTTATGCAATAACTAAATATATTTAAAAACTGAAAAATTAATGTCTACACCTAATTATACAGGGTTATCCATTTTGTGGTGTCGGAAGTAAATTTAAATAATATAAACTAGTTATATAAATTTCAACGAAATTGTTAACGAAACCATTTTTGTAGTAAGATTTTATACTTAAACATTTTTTTACATGCTCAGTGGTTGTTAAACGCTTCATATTATAAGATGACAAACTTAAACTGAGCATGTAATGTCATGAATGAGACTTAGCTTTGATATAACTCGCTGTGCCGCCAACTCATTTGGTGTGTTACCTTATTTAAATTGTATTAAATTGTATTCAATATTGAGAATATATTCTAAATTTGAAGCAAAATTAGTTCCAGTATTTATTATAGATTACTTCTGTTCTGTGAAGTAAACAAAAATATTTCGTAGAAAAATATTTAAAATTAGTAACAGAACATAATTTAATATTTTAACGTAATTTTTTTACGATTTTACATAATGGCTTGTTATAGCGGTTTCCAAGTGTAGATACCACTTATCTTCACTTAAATTTTCTTAAGTCAGTAAGCTATTGAACCAATACTTCAACATTGATGCATGCGAACAAAAATTCTTTGAAGAAGTTGACATAAAGAAGAAAAAATGAAATCTATCTATCACTTTCTGTGTCTTCTCGGGTCCACAGACGAAGTCCAATGTGTAGGACAACGTTTTTCACTGTCCTGACAGAGATAACGAAAGTAGATTTATTGGATTTCCTTAACTTCATCTGAAAAACTTAGTGGTTTAAAAATCAAAGCACAAGAAGCTATATTGAAAACAATGGTGGGTATAACTAAACTTCTTTTGGAAATTTAGGAGTATTACAGTGGGCAACAGTTGTCTCCGTGTATAAGTATTCATAATATCATAATATCATAATAGGTCTAAAGGACCATACTGTTTAAACTACGAGACTAAATTAAACTAATTATAACTGGTATTTACCATCTTCCATCGCTAATATTAATTATAAGACAAAGTAAGCTTCTCTAACTAAAATGCTAATCAAATTGAACTAGAAATATAGTTTTATCTATTATTTAAAACTTTTTACCTTATTTCACCACATATTAAATTAAATTATATTTTATATAATTATAATTTCACGCCATGAATTTCTACTTTTTGCATTAAAAAAGTTTACATGCAACAAAGAGCGTTGCAGAAATACAATATAATTTAATATTTATCGGTCGAATAATTTTAAGTGTAATACTACATACTACAACTTTTATTGAATAGTTTACTATTATAACAAGTGTATACATATAGGATAAAAGTGATTACATAGATATACTATTGTAGTATGTTTCCACTGGCTTCGTTAGACCAATTAATTTACTTAAGATTGCTTGAATTACTTGAATCTCAAGTAAGTTAACTGGTCTAACGATGCCAGTGGAAACATCGCGCAATTATTTTTAAAGACGTGGAAATTGAGGTGAAGACAACAGTTTTTGTCACATTGTTGCATTATCGTTTTGGAAGCGTTATATGATTCTACAATGATTGTCATGGTCACCCCTTATAAAATCCAAAAATTAGTATTAATTGCATTGTAAAGTTTTAACATGCTTCTTATCTTATTAGCAAAGAAAGTTTTTATACGTTTTAGTTATAATGAGGTATAATAATGGGCCTTAGTGTGTACAAGTAAAACCTTCTAGCAATTAACCTATACCAAAACATTTTTAACTGAACTATTCAATCTAATCACGATAACATCTTAACCCAAACATAAAAATTTGCGTAAAGCGTAATATAATTAAAAAACACTCATTTTTTATATTTATATATTTATCTAGTGGATTCATTCGAAAGTATTATTTTACATAGTTTTTTTCGGAATGATACGTCTACATTTTTAGATAACATAAACAGTAATTAAATACTTTTAATTTAATTCTAAATACTCGTAGTTATGTTTACATACATAGAAAGTCGACAAACGCACAAATACGTTTTGTGAAAAACGCAAGATAACCTTTTATTCATTAAACTGGTTTTTTCTTGTAAGATATGTTTTTGCAAATCATACGTTATAAAAATGTAGATAATATACTCATAAATTTATTGACTCAAATTTCATTAATAATGAATTTATTCATTCAAGTAAACATGTATTCCTCTGTACACTTAGGGTTCCACTTGTGCACTCACCGAGTCAATTTTGCGTGCTCATGGAGTGCGGACTGGCTTCTTTAGCTCACCACATTTGGTGTCGGTTACAGAGCGTATACGTATCAATGGGGCGCCAATATCGAAGGAGAAATTCACACGAGCATTTTGGCGAGTTTTTAAACGCTTGCAATCCGCCTCCGATAACGTCTATGATATGCCCGCCTATTTTAAATTCCTTACGATATTGTGTTTTCACATTTTTATTGAAGAAAAGGTTGATGTTTCGATACTAGAAGTGGGTATCGGTGGTGAACTGGACTGCACCAACATAATAAGGTAAGATAGCCTTTATTTAATGGGTTTGGTTTAATATTACTACATACTTTTTTGCAGAAATTCCAAAATTATTGGAATTACATCACTTGGTTTAGAGCATACAAATCTTTTAGGTAATTCTTTGGAAGAAATCGCTTGGCAAAAAGCTGGCATTATCAAAAAAAATTCCAATGTTTTTACAACCGTTACACAACCGGAATGTTTGGAAGTCATTAAAAAGCGGGTCGCTGAAAACAATGTAAGTTTAATATTTTAAAGTTTAATTTTGTATATTCTCAGGCATAGTGAGAGTTTATTTATACTTCATTAGTTCCCACTTATTTATTTATTTTCATTTTATGCAATTATATTTATAGTCATATATTGTGAAATTGCTAGTTAGTTTCAGTAGACTAGGTACAATTTCAATAATACAAAACATTTCTTGAAGATTGTCATGTTTCTTTCCTAGTCTTTATAATATATATGTGCAATGCCCTTACTCATCAAACACTTAAATATAAAAATGCTAACTATGAACTAAAACTGTTTCTTCTTTAATAGGCTAAATTATACATCGTACCTGATTTTGATAAATACTTTCAAGATCCAAACACACAGAAACTGCTTTCAAATCTGAACAATTTTATCAAATTAAATGGTTCCTTAGCGATACAATTAGCTTGTGATTGGCTGCGTAATCATAAGAATGGATTTCATAGAAATTACGGAATTAATTCTACGTCGCAGCTTTCCAGTGCTATAATAGAAGGTCTATTATATTGTAATTGGCCCGGTAGATGCCAAAAAGTACAGTACTTAAATTTTAAGTAAGTTTAAAGTAGTTTAAATGCTAATTTAAAGTTAATCGATATTTCATATTATATTTTCCAGTGTACATCTTGATGGAGCTCATACAATTGAGAGTATGCGAGTATGCCAGGAGTGGTTTAAAGACACGACAGCGGAAAGGTTATTATTAAACCATATATCTTAAAATTGTCAAGTATTCTAATGTAATTTAAATATTTTCTTTAGTACAAATCCTAAAATACTTATCTTCAATACGACTGGTGATCGTGATTCGAAAAATCTGATGAATATCTTAAGAGAACATAACAAGTTCGCTTTTGTTTGCTTTGTGCCCAATATTGCCACTAGTAGCCCAAATATCAATGATGTACAATCGAAATTGTATGGATCTGAAGAACAACTTAAACGCATCCAGGTACATGCAGATGTTTGGAAGAGTCTTTGTGCAGAAGCGAATGAACCAGACAACTCCAAAGTATTTCCAACAATTTTAGATAGTTTCGCGTACATACAGAAACTGTATAATAGAACGGAATTAGATGTGCTCGTAACAGGATCCCTACATTTAATTGGAGCTACCATATTAGCGTTAAATGACTACAAAGGGTCCACAGCGAAAACCTAATGTGTATATAAAAGGCTGAGTGTCAAATGTGTATATTATGTATAATAGTTAAACCTTTATAGTATTTGAAAATAAAAACAATACATAAAGAAATACGATAGTACTATAATTCATAATTCCTTTTTAGCTTCCTTTCAGCATATGCTGAAATCATAGACTTAAATCAACGATTTAAGTCAAACTGTGCAACGTTTAAGAAGAATAAATGTCTTCGACTGCTTAATTGCACAAAATCGGTGTTAAAAAGCAATAACATAGACCGACGTCAAACTGCTACAGTCTGCGCTATATGCTAAACTACAATTATGAAATGAAATACTTTTTTAATTGCGGAAACATTACCGAAAGTTTTTAAGCCACAGGGGGTTGTTAAACGTTTGACCAATCAGACACGCGCATTGTAAACTTTTTGTGGGTGGTTAATGGATGTGATTGCAATAGAGAGTCATGAGCTGAAAGTTCACGAAAGTGCAAAAGGGATGCCGCATAGGAAGTAATGACTTTTAAAATGCCGCAAAACAAAATGGCTAACGTTGAGGGTGGTTGTTCGCAGGAAGAGCATTTCATTCATGAGGTGTTTGCAATGAGAGTAAGAGAATGTTTCCCTCGTTAGGCCACATTTTATAACGGTTAAGGATGTGTTAAATATTTGTTAACTTAGCTGACATGTCAGCGTGTGAGAGGAGAGAGAGTAATGAAATACATAAACGCATATTCGAGTATGTAATTGCTTTTTAACTGACATAAATTTCGTTTAATTTGTTTGAAGACATTTCATCAGTTTTTATGAAATGTTAATGTTTTGACAGACAGTTAAAGGGATAAATCCTTGCGTTCAGTTGTTCATTTGACTTCGCCTTAAACGGTAACAGTTAAGCGCTCTGAAATTGAAATATTAAAAGGATTATGATTATTTTAAAAAAATGTATATAAATAGTATATTAAAAAATATTGCGTTGCTTGCAGAACCGGCGGCATATTAAAATATTAATAAGAAAAAATATTTTTTACTAAAACAATAATAATAAATTAAAATTATTTGAAATAAATTAAACAATACAAAGCGAAAAAAAATTATACTTATACGTGTTATATTTGTTAATTGTTTTTATATAAAAGAGAAATAAAAACAAAATGCACCAACAAAATTCTAAGTCATTTATGATACGAAATTTACTTGGGGATTTAATCAAAACACAGCCGGACTCCGGTAAGGACTTCAATTGTGTTATATAACAATAAATATTAAAATAAATTTTTAAAGTTTATTAAATAAAAGAATTTTTATTTTTTATATATAATTTCGCTAATTTTCCTAATATTATATTTATAGATTTCTTCAAATTTTTTATAAATATTAAAAAAAAGAAAATACTTTTTATTGGTACGAAAAATTTATTAGTTTTGAACAACGAACTTAAAAATTAATAACTCTCACTAATTCATTAATAAATTATTATGCATTGCATTTAAAGCATAATTATATAAAGATTTTAAAAAGTGAAAAAATTAGGTCTTAAATTATTTAATGATATTAAATATCTACTTTTCAAATGATTAAATTTAATGAAAAATGACAATTCTGCAATTAAAAATATTGACAACTTAATCTAAATTATGGTATAATAAAACAATGCTACAGTGGATCGCTTAGATCGCCACGATAACCTAATCTGAAAGAGATTTCCTTTCAAATCAAATCTCTACACAAATATTGGATAGAATCTTTAATAATCTCTCATATAAATTTATTGATGATGTAATTATGAAATACGAAGTGCAATAAAATTTGTGAAAACTCACTGAAGTTATATATCTTCATTAGGATATATATGTCTAATGTATGTCTGATAGAGCGAATTACAGTAAGCAGCGACGATAACTACGTAAAAATGAAATAAATTGTGAAACCGATTTCAACTAATTTTTTATTATGTAATTTGTTATTGTTCAATAACATGTCCTTATGAAATTAACTATATACCTATATCACTGTTACTCAACTCATGTACGGCAGATTAAAAAAAATATTTAAAGTATTTTACCAAAATCGGGTTCTATATCTTCCCAATAATATCGTTAAAGGCAAAGATTAAGTATTTTATGGTCTTGTAGCTGTCGATATTCTCAATAATCACAGTAAGCTGAATTACAATTCAAATATATTGATAATACAAAATTTGGAAAATTTTAGTAAGAAAATTATTTTCCAAGAAGAAGTTTCTAGTTTCCTGATTAAGGAAATAAACAGAATACAATAAATAATTTTCAAATTTAAATATAGTCTCAGTGTTTTTAATTCTGTTCAACTACAGAAACCACGCTATAGTCCGTTGGCGGTCAATAGACCATCGGCTGTGAAACCCTAGACTTTAATGTATGAAACTTTTTATACAATACAAATAATTTTATTTGTATTGTATAGTATAATTAACGAATTTTATAATGTTTAAATTGCAATCAATAAAATATTTTCACAGTCAGATCGACTAATGCTGGCGAAGTGAATTCGCACTGAAAGTGCTTGAAAATTTAAGCTAAAAAAAAATTCAAATCAGAAATGATTTGGAAAATTCTGTTAATACACATTTTACTGATTTTTGTTCTAAATCAGAAAAGTCAAATAATAAATCTATAACTCTGAATCGATAACGATATTTCTCGATAACAGAAGTATAACTTCGAATCGATACCAAAACTAAAATCGATTTCACACGATTAAAAAATATATTATATATTGTTAACAACATATTTTGCTTATTGGTAATAATAATGCGCAAACAATTTTTAAGATGAACACATAATCTACAATTTAATCGAATAACTAATCGAATAAAATGAAACAACTATAAGAACTTTAGCATTGCCCGCTCATAAAATAGTTTGAAAGTTAATAGTTAGAAAGTTAATAATTAGAAAAACCCTAATATTGTAAAATAACACATGACTATAGGTATCTAAATCGCAAAAAAAATTTTTAAGTAACAACATTAACTATGATCAAACATCATCAGATATCAAGTAGAAAATAAAATATCATAAATATATACAACTATAGGTACCAACTGATATTCCTTTAAAACACTTTTATTGATAAGAACCTAAACAGAAATAGTTATGTGAATTTGTAGCGAAAATAGTGACCTATTACTTAATTTTTTTGTACAAATAAACTGTTTCCATTTCACCACCACATTTAAAATATATATATATATATACACCTTCAAACACTCAGTTAAACCCGTAAGTGTGTTGAGTGAAGAAATAAGGAGTAGTCTCAAGAAACTTAGTTAAGTTTGTTTGAAGAATATATTTAAGCCACCAGAATTGAGACAAAACATAACGATATCTTTGTTTATTACAAGGAGAAAAAAGCACGGTTTTATCTTACTTGCTTATATCCCAAACATTATAACCTATACGGAAAAATGAAACAAACCCGAGCTTTATTAAACCTGTGATAGAGACTATCTACATTGCAAGGAAAAATAAAAACAATTAAAAATTTTAAGGTAAAGGCAATATCCTTACGTAAATATTGACATTCATATAACAATATAAGTTATAAGACACCTTTATATATACAACTGCCAACTGAATACAATAATAATGCAATATTAAAAGTATAATAGTTGTATTACAATAGTGATCATATATTGAATGGTTAACAAAACAGAATCTAACGATTCCGTCACATAATACTAATCAACATTACCACACTTATTACAGTCATACAAAGTACACCTAATATACAAAAACTGTCCTAAAAAAACAAAATCAATTGTCAAAAATAAAAATGCACTTCAATCTTTAAAAAATAAATCAGTTTAAAAGGCTTAGACTTGGACTAAGTTAGACTATTTAGCTCTTTTTCTGACTGTAGATCCCTACGAAAACATAAGATATTAAAGTATCTTTTATATTCGTTGTAGATAGCAAAAACAAATGAAATATCCAAATCTTAAAACTTTTTACAAATGGAAATGGGAATCAACTAACAAAAATCTTCAGATTAGAAATGTAATAAAAAATGTTTTTCGTATAAAAAGTTAAACCTAATCATCAACTCAATTTTGATTGCAATACAAAGTTTATGGATGAAGATCTAATTACTCGTATGATTAAATATGGTAATATTTAAGTTAAGCCCAACCCCCTTAGATTGCATCGCTGGGACAGTTCAATTTTCACTAATCGATTCAGTAATGATATCAGTAATGTACCTCATATCTAAATGAATAATATATATATTAAAAAATATATAATATTATAAAAATACTCATCACTAGGACAGAAAAATCAATTCTGATTCAATCAGAATCAATTCCGATTTTAATTAAAAATCTGTGTTTAAAACTATACTCCTTCAATACAAATCATTGAATAGATTGAAAAGTCGCAGAAATAAACACAAACGTTCATCATTTTTTGAGAAAGATAAAACTAGGGCGATAATGAGAAATTTAATTTTATTAATTCTTCACTAATTTATCTTTTATAAATTTTTCATTATCAGTATTTTTCACATTAGTTGTTATCATACAAAAAATATTTTATTAATTAAATAAGAAAATTAACGTGAAGTGTAATAAATAATGTAAAACATTTCAATACATTTATTTGGGATATCATAAAAAGAAAATAATGTAATGTTACTAAAATATAACAAAAAAAAATTACCTAGTTGTGGTAGATTAGAAACATGTCGTGGGTTGCACACATCTTAGTCGCCGGCCGCAAAAACTGAGAAACTAGTTTGAACTGATATAGATGGACAGAAGGACAGACAAAAATTTAAATTAGTAAACTTTTACTAATTTAAACTAATACACTTTTATATTTACATAGTATATATTATACATACTTTCATATTACTTCATTCAAGATTTTCTTGAAATTAAAACAACGGATATTTTTGTCTTTAAGGAAATTTATTTTTCCTCGTTATTCAGTCAGTCATATGACAAATGGTTACATTAATTTAACACTTTTTCTGATCATAACCGTGTAGACATTTTACTTAGACAGTTTTTATGGTAATTTACTCTTAAAAGGTGCGAATTCTGACATTTACTCTGCACTATACTTTTTAGAATAGGGCAGGATTTGTGGATACACTATAACTTATACGCTGACACATACAAATTTTTGTTTGCAAAGGTTGAAAATTATACTCATTTCCTTTCGAATACAGAAATATCGCCAAAATCTAGCAAATATAGACTAATTACTAATAATTAGTAAGCAATATTGTTTTGACTTAAGTGACGAAGTAGATGTTACCGTGACCAAAGTTTTGTCGGAATTTTTTCTTTGCTCACAATGTCAATTTATTAATTTAAACTGAAAACAACAACATCTTCACATTTGACGTGACCATAACTGTGTGCATAACATAGTCTTTACTCAAAATCATAAATATCTTTACTAACTTAACTAACAAATTTTAACCTAAACACTTTTTATTATTTCTCTTTTACTCTCAATATAATATTTTTTTTTTAAATACTTATAGATTTCTTTATTGTATCTTTGTAATATTATTGTAATATTACAATTTTTTATTTTTACTATACATTGTATAATATAAAATAAAATAAGTAAACCTTATATGACGGCCCTATCCATTAAGTCAATCGATTAAATTTCATTGGAGTGAAATTTAGGTGGTTAGGTGGTTTATTAGGAAAGCAGTTAAACTTTCTCAATATAAAATAATAATAATATAATATTTTTAAAATAAATGTATAATAAATATATAATATATAGACAATAATAGAGAATTATATGTTAATTGCATATATCACGTAAAAAGTTAATTGCTAAACTAATAACTCTGTATTAGATTGAAAGAACCTAAAAATAAGGCTGCTCTGCAAATTTCTTTATATGAATTAATGGGATAGACATCAATTAGCCCTGCAATAAACAAAGTTGATTTTTAATAGCTCAACTTTTAACACAAAAGGAAAATATTTTGTTTGATATGAAGAAAAACACAATGGAAAACAAAAAGGACCGCTGAAGGCAATAATTTAATTTGTGGATCTGAAAAGTTAACGTGTTCATGAGCAATTTGTCACGTACAAGTACTTTAGTGCACAAACAACATGAATAAAATATTGTATATATGGTAGTTCTGCACATACGAGCGAACACCCATCGACAAGGACTACAGAAGGACTCAGAATTTGCGCACATTTCACATGA